CTATGTGAAATTCAGTAAAATCTAGTTAAAGCTCAATAAACATTAGGTAATACTTAGTCAAGGTAAAGCTCAGTAAAGGCTAATTAAAGCTTAGAAAACATATAATAGTTGTACTCTCTGTGAAACAATATTTAAAAGACTAACACAACATTTTGGCAATTTACATTTTTAAGCAATAAAGGTAAATCCATTTGCTATTAATTTGAATAATATACTTTCATTACAAAAATGTTGGCTAAGCTCTTGCCCCCCCCCCCTCCCCCTCTTACAAGACAAGTTCATGTCATTCGCTTCCATTTTAAAAACCTACTTCTGAACAGCAAATAACATATCGTGACATGAATCATCTAATAAAGATTAATTGTGTAATGAAAAACATTAAGTGATTAATTTTAGAGTGGTACAAGAAATGTGTTTTATAATAAAAATTACCTTCTGAAAGCTGTTCACTGTCTGTACCGGAAACCTCTTCCATTGTCTGATATTTCAATCAACAAGTCAGTTAGTCCTCAATTTAGTTTACTGCCATGTCTGCATTAGTGCTCTTTGTGTCGAGTTATGTTTTGGATGCTGTGATGCGACAATTAGCACCTCCTTAATGGAAAAACAATATTGAATGATTTCATTTTCCAGTTTTAAGACAAATACATTTGAATTATACTTCTTAAAACATTTGACTCATTCTACAGTATAAACAAAATATTATATGGTAAAAATTTTGTTTGATTAACGAAAAATTGTTGAAAAATTCAAATTGAAAATTCCTAAATGTTTATTGTTTGGGAAGAAGTTGGCTGGTATTTGGTGTAATTGTTTGGCAGAACTGAAAGTGTGATAAACTTATTCCGAGTGTTGTGTTCAGAAAAGTGACATACTTGCTAAAATGTTCAAAAATGATTGCACCATGGCCTAAAAACCACAAATCATGCCATATTGAAGATTTACATCAGACAAAAGTAGTCAATAACCTAAACAAAGTCACATTGTTCTTTTCTTTATAAACCATATTTGGGTTTAGAAGGCCAAATATCTAACATTGATACACTCATATTTGAATATGTAATATTGTTGATACAGTCACTTTTAATATATTTTCTTTGTTGTTTCGATATTTTTAAAGGGCAAATAATATATATAATGGGTCATCCTAAATGAAGCTAAAATATTTAAAATTCATAATGATATACACAATTAATAGGCCCTCTTTTCTGTACTTATTGAAAATTGTTTATGTAGGAATTAAATTAATTGCCTATCAAAATTGAAAATATTCAAGTGTTTTTTTCAATTGGGATCTTGTCATATTGCTAAATGTTTTTTTTTCCAAATATTAGGTCTTTTAAATCTGTTTTGTAAGTGCTTTTCGGAGAAAATAATAGTTAAACAGTAATATAATAAATATGACAATATACAAACATTCCACATTCAATTTAATAAATCAGATTATTCACTCTGCAGGGCCTGCTTTAATTAAATAATACCATGGGTACCTTGATTAAATAATCCCAATTTGTCTAGTCCAATATAGTAGCTACCTTTAATACAATGAGTATATAGGTTGATGCACTGGTCTCACCTTGCAGTTTCAACCAATCACAGTCAACCTTATGTTGAACCATTGTCACAGACTTAATTAATTATTTTACCATACTGTCTCTATGGTTATTCTATGATTAAAGAAACATCCAGGAAAGTCTCTGAAATTATAACACAAAGTCTGTGTAACGAGTAGAGACTTTATGGACACCTTGTAAAACTGTAACCCCATCCCTGATAATTTAAAAAAAAATTTATTGACTCAATATTACAAATGCTTTATAGACATTGAAACCTGTATATCCAGACACGTCTTTATTCTCAATTTAACACCTCTCATTTGAACACTTTTTTGGCCCCATGTTTTAATCTGCGGCATTCTTTCAAAAAAACACCATATATATATAACTTTTATTGACATCTTGTATCATAACATGATTACATTAGTCATAACTATGAAAAAACTAAATATCTAAACTACAAATACTAACTAAGGCAAAAGTACAAAAATATATACGAGATATACAAAAAAAAACAAAATAAAGGTAGTATACATTATGATGAAAGGACAAGGTTACATTTAAAGTGTGGTGCACATACCCTGCATTCTGACTACAAATTCTTAAATGAATGATAAATGAATTTTCCAATGTGTCTTTGTAATGTTAAGTTTTTACTTGAAATGAGATTGACAAATAAATTTTCACTATTGAGGTCAAAGTTACTTAGAATTTCACGAGCCTTAGTGTACAATAATTGTCTATGCTCATCATTCTTTGTACAAGTTAAAAGGAAATGACATTCATCCTCTATTTGTTTACAGGTATTGCATAATCTTTCCTCTCTAGGTTTTGGTTTTGGCTTTGCATGTCTTCATAATTTGAACACTTGCCAATCTGAAGGTAGTACCAGTGTTGTTCCTATAAGACAGGTTTAACTGTATTCCATAAGCATGACTATATTACTTTAGGTGTCACAGGATATATTATTCTGCATAGGTTAGGATATTATACATTCCCATAATTGATTAAGTAATATACTGATTCCATGTCAATTATTTTCGATAAATGAGCTAATTTCTTTTCTTTCTAGGAATTTGTTATTAGATTGAATTGAAAAGATGCTAGATGCTTATTAAAATAAATTTGATTTTCATAACTTATTAATATTCAAAATTAATTGATATCCTACTCGAACTCTACATAATAAAGTATACCGTACATCTAGAAATGCACTGAAGCTTCAAAATTTGTAAAATAACCTTTAGATGATATAATATTATGAATAGGGAAATTTCTTTTGTTTTTTGTTATTCACTAAAATGAAATCACACTGACTATCTTCGGGAAAATGTGAAATCGTAATTGGGCCATTGAATCTAATGCTGATGCTTAGCAAGATGTTTGATCAATAGAGCAAGCCATATGTGCTCAAGAAAAAACATTTTTAAAGTGTATTCAATAATGAAGAGCATATTGACATTTTGGACCTCATAATGTTTACTTTATGAAATTGATATTTTGGAAACCATTTTATTATTACTTTCAAATCAGAAAACTAGATTTATAGAATATTTCTATTTCGATCTTAGAAGCTAAGATATTTGATTCTTCTGTTTGTTTGCCTCATTTTAAAATGCTATTTCTGAATCTAATCAATTTTGACTTGTTTTTTTGTATTGGTTTTACTGAAATGACTGAAAATATTCCCATGCGATGTTTATAACATTTTGCTCATGAAATAACCATTTCAGTATTATACAGCTCAATAATATCATAAAATTGTAAATAAATACTAAAATTGATCTTGACTGTAATGATTATACATCAACGATTTAGATTTTGAAAATATTGTCAAATAACACTACAAATTCAAATCAACTAATTCCTGTATTCATTTGTATTTTCATTTTTCATTTGAATCAAAATTAAATATATATCAAACATTATTTTAGCTACTTACCATTGTTTGACATCACTGGACTGACATCACATTGTCCTGACATCCTGCTTAGCAATGTGTCATCTTTAGTATATGCGATTGCCGATGCATCAATGACACTTCTGTGACTTTACGCATCAATGACACTTCTGTGTCTTTACCACTCCCTTGGTTCATCATCGCTTTCTGCTGAGTCCTAAAGAGTTTGTAAATGACACCCTGTGATTCAAGATGTCCTTGGTATGCATTGCCTCTGTAGTAATCGTGCCGGCTTCTTCAGTGATCGTGTTCTGTTCATCCCTCACTACAACTGTCTTATATATAGCATAAGTTTGCAATAACATAGCTGTTTCCTGGCTGTTAAACATTCATAGAAGACTCGAAGGTGTCATCTTTAGTAATTCTCATTGTCTCATGTTCACCTGTTGAGTGGACTCTCATAAGGTAAACACCAACAAAATTAGGTGTTGTTCTGTATGTGCTATGGTTGAATGGTGTCTTGTGTAGGGCTATCGGTTGAATGAGACATCTGTTATGTAATGCAAGTGCTAATTGTCATTATTATTATTATATTATTTTGCTTCTTCTGGTTCTATGCGGCTATCTTGTGATATTACATTGTGTTCTCATATTCAGTCATATACACCTGTATGCATGATAACTCTAATAATACCTCGTTTGTGCTATTTTATGAAACACATGAAAATAATGATTATTTGTATTCCTAGAGAGCAATGTCTGGTCTTTTCTTCTATCAATCTCATAGAATTCTATTGTTAATCTTTCTTGTCGCCTTCTCTAACATCAACCATAACATTTTTGTATTTAGTCTTGACATATTTAAATTGTTACACTTTTGTTCTAATTTGCATAAGATGTAATCTCCAGATTGATTTATTTTAGATAGGCTCAAAGACAATTGATGTCAATTTCAACATATTTTTGCAATATTTATTATTGAAATTCAAACAGTGGTCACCTACATGATATCCACATTTTCAGATTTTAATTAATATTGGTTACCATGGCAACAAATTAAGAGACTATTACACTTTAATGTATAAGTTTTACTCCATAATACTGTATGCAACCAGGAAATGATATTTTGTCATATAAATGTAAATCCATGATTCTGAACGTTGATGTAAATGGGACAAATAATACAAAAATAAAGTAAATAAGTTATTGACATTATATAAATATCATTCATAGGGTCTATTTGCAAAAATGAGGCACAACTATTTTTTATGTCACCACCACAAGTTTTTTGTGGACTGTGTTCGGTGGTTGGTGGTTGGCGTTCAGTGTTTGGTGTCTGTAACAAATGGCAGGTGGTGACACTTTGTCAATGCCTTGTTTGACCTTATTGATATCTGGTCATGTCGGAATGAATAGATGTTCTTTCCACTTCTCTGATGTTTCATAAATTTTTTCAAATTCAAGAGAAAAAAGAACAAATTGATTAATTAATAATTAGCCCAATGAAAATTAAATTCAAGTGCTCCCATACTATATGTTTTCAGGTTGATTTTGATGATGGCCACTGTCCTACATGGAACAATCAGATCATTGGCTTATATAATGTTCAGCAGGTGGTAGCAGGCAAAATCCCAGGTAAGTATTAATGTACTGGTGGAACGAAAACTTTATTTTGTACCCGAAAATAACATGTGCAGGTATAGCATTTTTATCAAAAATGTTTTCGTTCCACCAGCACCTTAAACATGGAATAACCAGATCATAGGCTTATATAATGTTCAGCTGGTTGTAGCAGGCAAAACCCCAGGTACGCCATTAAGGTGGGTCACATGGAATGAATTTTGAACTTGTTGTCAATTAAGGGTAATACCAGAAGTTTAAGCCTATATTTGAAAACAAGATTGGCAGGATCCTTTGCAAATTATGAAAATACCCCCCACCCCTCTCATCCCCCTGTCAAATGTAAAAATATATGTGAGGCCAATAAGTGGGGACTTCATCTCCACAGTTTTAGTTGAAAAAACATCTGAATGAATATTTTTCTATAAATTTCTGGTGAGGTGCTTGCCTCATCTGCCCCATGCCTTGCTACTCCAATGTCATCAATTCTCTTATTATAACCAATAAATCACAGAAGCCTGAAGTACTGGTTCCCTTTTCCCCCTACTACTTCTTATAACCATTTCACACTTGCTTTGCAGATATTGATATTGCTACTTCTCCATTGTTGATGCTGAGACCAAGAGCTTGGAATATGATGGAATCAAATATGATGGTAAGATTGCCTCTCATATAAGTCTATATCCTACAAGTAATTGGTTTTATTCAGTGGCTCTAGGTATACTAGAAGTATAGTATTTTCAAAACAATTTGATATTTCAAAATTAGTTTATGTAGGATTTAGTGCAAAACTTGATTATAGGTCTCTCCCCACCCACATTCATGGTACCGTGTTCTGCTTATATATGAGTCATTAATTTAAATGCCATTGGGTCTGGCTTAATGTATTTGGATTGTCATATTTTGAGTTTTTTAACAAATTTTTGGAGTACTAGGAGTACTAAGTGTCTGTTGTGTAACTTCCATTCCAATGTAGGGGTTATGCATATACCTCATTATTAACCCACTGAATGTAGTTTGCCCATCTGTTCATTCATCCTTCCGTCCGTCCGTTTGTCTTTATGAATGATAACTCAAATACCAATTGGCAGATTTGATTTGATTCTTAATGGGCATAGGAGCTCTGCTCAAAAGGAATTTCCAATATGTCCACTCCATTCAAAAGTGCTGCCATTTTTAGAAAATAAAATTTTTGATAACTCAAATACCAGTTGTTACATTTGGTTCAAATTTTAAGGGCTGATACGCAAGGACATGGCTGCCAATTATTAAAATGGCCATCATTTTTTCAGTAATAATATAATTTATGTTTAATTAAATAATATGTTATAAAATTTGGTCTAAATTCTATAAGCTGATGTGCTATGAGAATAGGATTTCTGCTGAAGAAAAAAGTTTCAAATATAGTCATTCAATTCAAAATGGCTGACATTTTTCATAAAAATATAATCTTTAATTTCTTAAAAAATTGACAGATTTGGCTCAAATTTAATATTGTGATGAAATAGTGTCAGAATATGTGCTGAAGAAGGAATGTTTAAAATGGCCACCATTCTTAAAATGGAAACCACTTTTCTTGAAAAATGTGTAATTTTCAATAACTCAAATATCAAAAATTGGATTTGGGCCAAACGTTCCCGGCTTCTAAAATAAAAAAATGAAGTGAGTTGAAGGAATAATTGCCAATTTTTACAGTGAAAAACATAATTACATGAACATTTGAGGAAGAAGTAAAGAGTGATGTTCTGCTTAGCATAAAAATTAGCATCATCAATGAGGGTTAATCTGTTTTAATCCAAACTTTGCTGAGTATTACTAATAATGGGCTGCACCGTCTGTACCAAGTTTGACTAAAACAACTGAATATAAAGAGGGTACATATTCTGGAATACTGTAAGCAAAATATGATTGATCATTTAAGAATATTATGTATCCTATTTATTACAGACGTCAATTGAGCAATCAGCTGTCATATAATTGTTAAAGAAAATGAGAGTGCTAATAAACCCCTGTTATCGCTAATTATCACCTGGATGTATTATTGAAGTTTTACTCATTGTCTCTCCATGTCAGAAAAAATCTAAAAAATAAATACCAGCTTTGTTCTTTGTTTTTTTTCTATTTACTTATGATATGCATTTTTTTTTAAGTTAGATGACTTTCTTCGATACAGCCTTGGTTAGTCTAAGATTACCAAAGAAAATGTCATGTCTCAAAGTTTTCAACACAACTGGCTGACAGAGGAGAATTCACTCATCTATTCTCTTAGATAATTGTCACGTTAATTTGAGAAATTCTAAATGTTAAATACTTAGACAATGGCAGCCATGGCTTTACGATGGGATTTGTGATGCTTTAGCGTTGCTGTTACCTACAGTAGTCACCTCTCTACACATGTGTGATAAAGGATATTGTAAAAAAGTCTTAAGTCACTGCTCTTTGCCCCTAGGGATGGAATATTATTACACTTACAGGGTGGGCAAAAAAAATTGATTTATATATCATTTTAATGGTAAAGCATTTTCAAACAATTTGGTATATAACACTTTGTCATGAAATCAATATTAAAGTTTCATTATACTTATTTGGGAGTCCGGGTCCAATTTAAGGTCTCCAGATTTTAGGGAAATAATAGATCTGAAATAGTAAATCTGAGGAATTATGTTAATTTTTTATTTATAGAATATCATTTTGTTAGTTGAATACATGCTTGTATATTTGCATAGTTGTGTGACTAAACTTATTATTTATGAATTTCAGTGTTGTTTATTATTAATAAGTACTCAAAAGGGGTCTGCTAAATGACATTAAACGTATATGTGGTGAGGATTTTATTTTCCAACAAAACATTGCCTCGTACCACAGATCAAATGAGACTTTGGCATTCCATTGAGAGCAAGGTGTCAATATGATTGATCTCAATACTTGGCCACCTAACAGCCCCGATGCTAATGTGGTGGATTACCATACATGGAGCCATCTCGGGGAAATGGTACAATCACAAGGATCCAATAAACAAATTGATGAGCTTATACAGAATCCTAAAGTGCTGAAATGAATTGCAACAGAAATCTGTCAGTAAGGCTCTTGATAGGTTGTGCTACCACTTGAAGCTTATTGTTGATGCAGGGGGGGGATATATTGAGCAATTGATAAATTGTTTTAATAAATAATGTGTAAAATGTTATTAAAAAACACTGACATTCATAAACAATAAATTTAGTCACACAACTAAGCAAATATCAATATTCAAGCATGTATTCACTTAACAAAAAATGATGTATTCTATAAATAAAAAATTAACATAATTCTGCAGATTTACTATTTTCTCCCTAAAATCTCGAGACCTTTAATAGCGATCTGGCCTCCCAAATAAGTATAATAAAACTTGACTATTGATTTCATGACATATTGTTATATACAAAATCGTTTGAAAATGCATAACCTTTAAAATGATATGTAAGTCAATGTACCATATTGAATAAAACTATTTTTATCCTGATTTGAAGTTGGGTATTGTTTTTTTGACCCACCCTGTATAAAGGAGACTTGTCAGGAAGAATAAGAAAAATGCCCTACAACTCCTGGATTATTACTAAAAGAAGAAATGTAGACATTTTCTCAATGTCATCATAGCTCCTTTATTGTGCAAGAGGAAATAAATTAAAAAAATATTGTACAAATATTTGAGTTGATTACCTGTACATTTTTCACAAGTGATATTCAATGAAGCCTACAGGGCTTAGGCCCGAATGGCTAGTGGAAAATTTTTATTTTTTCAAAAAAAATCATTTTTTAAAAGAAAAAAATTTCAAAATTTTCATTTTTTTCAAAAGTGAATACCACTATATATTCAATTAAAATGACGTCACATCACTTAATTTTTAGAAATATATACAGATATTCAACTCCGCAGAATTCAATATTTGTATATTATCCTACACTTGGTGAACTAAATGTATAATAACATTAAAAAATAAATTTGATATTTATTGGCAAAATGAATAACCGGAGGATATCGTGATGATATATTCAGGAAATAAAGAGTATAATATATACTCCGGGCAGAGGATATCATGACGATATACTCCGGAAAACCCAATATGCGGAGGATATCCTTGTAAGTGTAGGATAATAAGCATCCTCCTAAGCAGGTGTCCAGAATTCGTACCTCCTTCTTCCCCCTGCTATAACCAATTTGGAAGCGCCCGATCTAACTGAATCACGTGATCTAATTATGCGCAATGACTTACTCATGATTTCTGTAGCAGTGTTGCGACAGCCAATCAGATTGGGAGTTCTTAATCAGGGAAATGGTAACTGCTTATCGCAGGGGGTAAAAAGAAAGAATATATTCTGGATTTTGAAGCCCTGTGATCGGAGGATGGATAATAAGAACATCCTATGTTTTTTTTCTGTGAATAATGTACAAACCTTTGATACAAATAATCCACCCTTGCCTTTAGCGACATCATAGTAATCCTCTTGTTATTTGGGAAATGAGATTTACTAACTACTTACATTTTAAAAAGAATTGGGATATTTGAATTTTAATAGTTATTTGATGGCACAAATTAAAGCTTATTTTGATTTTTTCATATTTAAGGACCAGAGGAAGGCATTAATTGCTTGTTTGAAACTCCTCTGAAGACACCCAAAGCTATGCAAATGTACAGAACAGTCTTTTCTGAATGAAACTGGTACTGATCAAAAGTGTTTGGTTGAACAGATGTTCACATTTTAAGGTTTTTATGTCACCACCAGAAGTCTGCTTTTGTAACAAATGGCAGGTGGTAACAATTTTGCATGTTATGCTTTGTTTAAATATGTGAATCAATGGGAATTTTTGGGCCAAGAAAAAGTAATCACATTGGCAGGTATTCAGATTAGAGAGGTGGTTCAGAATTCACACATTTATATTGTAAGAATGAATATTTAAAGTGGGCATTTTATTACAAGGTAAATGGGAAACAAGTGCCAGGTGCTCTCTTTGATTTTGGTTTACTGATGTACCATAATGCAGCCTCTTTACACAGACATAAGTCAGGGCCTTTCTTCTATCTTTCTAAGGTAAGCACAAATACCCCCCCCCCCACCCTCTCTCACCTACTTCTGGCTTACTTTCAATATTCCTTGTTGGTTCAAGGATCATAAAAGCTCAATAGTGTTACTTGCTACTGATAAGAAAATTGACCTTTTTGGCAAATTTTGCCTAAAGTTTTCATTTCAAATTAAACCAAAATGTAGATGCATAGACGATGCGATAGTAAGTTTCCAAAAAATTATAATTTTACAAAATTGCTTTCTCTCACCATTAAATACCATGTCTATTTCATAAAAGTCCAACGATTCTGACTTATCTGGCAAAAATATTGGAAAGGAGACATCCCTTTTTACTATTTTAATGTTTTTGGAGATTTTTGTGTTTTGAATTTTCTCTACTCCTTTTCAAAACAAGGAAATTAGGATGGTTATTAATGGAAATATTGGCATGATATTTGAATAGATTTATATTTCCTGTCTCCTTAAGACTTAGGACATTTTTCCTTTTTATGTTATAGCTGGAAAACCACATCGAGGCAAGACTCTGGGAGGAAATTTTAACTTTTACAGAAAAGCAGGTGAGATAATGTATGTCACTTTCGCTCAAATTGCTGTTAATGAGACCTGTTAATGAGACTTGCTGGTTGCATAAACATACAATAACACAAGAAGGATATGCTTCAGACTTTGTTTTATTTGCACAACACACTATACACATTTATGCAAGTTTATAATTTCAGGTGTTTTAGAAAATTCACACAAAATGAGTACATGTAAATACTATTTGCTTTAGAGAAAATAGTATTTCTAGTATCCAAGAAAATATCATATCTGACCTACAAAATAATTAAAGCTCTATAAATAAATTGTGTTTGTTATGGAGTACCTACATTTTAATGAATATGTGGAAGGTATATTACAAACTCTAATACAATGTATATTTTTGAGAAAAGATGGCCACTAAGTTTTTAAAAACCTAGCTGCATTATGGACGACTATTTATTTTTTTATAACCATGACTGTTATGCAATACTGCTTTTGTTTACAGTATAGGGGAATAGTTAAAAATAGTCTTAAATTATTTATTTTAATTAACTAGTTAAAGTTGCCACGTGGAACAGCCAAGGTGTGTGTGTTGATCGAAAACATCCTTGCTGCATTTGAGACTCATGAGATACTTTATGAACTACGTGATCATAGTTTGGGTCTTAATTGTGGAGTCTTCGACTACAGCGCCTCTATCATCCAAAAGTTTGGTAGGTGCATACTGACTTCATTTTACTTAAAAGAAGCGAAAATGATATTTGTACAGTCACCATTTTGTAAAGCTTCATTATTAGATGTTAAAGGATAGAGAATGAGAAATGAGTTGCTGAGGCACAACATCTATATAAAAAAGTAGACTGAGACTCATGAGATTAAAAGAACCAGATTTTTCACATTATTCATATTTTAAAATGGTAAAATGGAAGGCTTGTTCTATGGTACAGCAAAATGGTATGGTACAGCAAAATGGTACAATATTCTCTTTATTAAAGGTGATTTCTTGTTTTTTTGAGTATTGCATCAAAGAGAAGGTTATAACTAATTTAATTTTCCATTAGGTAAATGGAAAGGTTTTGTGCTACCCGACAGACAGAAGTATGTCTCGATGAATGAACATTTCCTGCAGCAGTACCTGGCTCTCGTTGTACAGACCTGCCACCAGAGGGCATGTCCTGTAACTGCGGGAATGGCTGCTGGAGTGTTGCCTAGCAACAATAAACAAAAATCACAAGAAATCATCGAAAATGTTCTAAAGTGAGTCAGAATTATATTTGGATAATTTGGGTTATTGTACTGTAAATTGCTTGTATTTGACGTCAGAATATTAGTAATTCTTCTACAAAATATGACCAATTAATTCTTAGACAATTACTGATGCAGAGACAATTACAAATGACTAGAAAATTATCAGTTCATGTTATTTGTCACCAAATAAGTTCCAGTTTTATTGTTGTCATTTGTGAGTCATTTACTTTGGATAAAATTAAAATCTCAAAAATATAAAATTGATATATGCGTACTGTACTATTTTGATAACTCAATTGCATATTAATCATCATGAATCATATCAATTGGTGATTTTGAAACAATAAACTGAATGGTGGATAAGTGGTGAAATGGAATACATGTATAAGCAGTACCCAAAAGGATAAATTGGCATAGAGATCATGTCTTAAACACAATATAATGTTTATAGAAAAATTGGAAAGAAATAATGTATAAACACTAATGTAATCCAAATTTGTAAAATACACCATAAATTCATAGCTCAATCAAATTCTATGGAGAAAATGCAATGAAATGCAAGAACCAGCATGGCATGTTCTTGGTGACTTGGTTTGTTTGAAGTGCAATGTGTTGATTGAAAAGGACAAACCACCTGTTGGTGATTTCCATTGTTCATAACAAACTGTTAAATGCACAAACATCATGCACTGATGCTTTGTTTGGAGACAATTAATAGGATGAACAATTGAGCATATGTCATGATCTGATTGGCCAATTTACTATCTATACACAAAGCATTGATGTTTTGATAAATTTTGAATCCCCATGTAGTTTTGCTTGAAGACTCTGGATCAACCTCCGTATATACTTCATATTGTGGGAAGGTGTGTACTGTGTAGTGGGGGGGGGGGGGGGGGGGGCTTGAAGCTGGACTTATCTCCATGCAACATTTGCAATTGTTTTGTGGCTGATCTTTTCATAGTTCTAGCTCAGACCTCCTGTTTATGTCTATTGTTTTAGCTAGCTTGAGTGAATATACTAAATGTCCATCCCATGTTTTAGAGATAAATTAACGACATAAAGAAGTGAAACCTAGCTGTCCGCATGCACTCTTCAAGAGCACAAATGGAACTAAACTAAATCTTTTATTTTACATATATTTATGATTTTAATGCATAAATAGGATGTGCTTTGAGGCGTGTTTTATTGTCTGAAGGAAAAGTGAATTGCTCCAGGGATTTTCAAGATATTGAATTCGGATGACCAAAATGAGCTGAAACCAATGGATAGTATGAGTTCTTCTCTATGGAGAAATAACATGGGGAATACTTATTTTAGAGCAACACACTTCTATTTAAGGACTAATTGATTAAAATAAAGAATAGTAATACATTAAATATTGTAAAAAAAGATTGCCTTTTGGTGAAAATGAGGTAAATATTGTTGAAAAAGTCGTTGATGGGTTGATTGCACCCTTAATAGCGCAGAGCCTATATAATTATCAATGTATATACTTGTTTACAATAACCTATGTGGCCTTCTATGACAAAGATGATTTTTTCAATTGCCAAATATAAACAGATTTTGAAGTGATCTACTGAAAGTGTTCAAATTGGCAGGTGCTCATAATTACAAGTTTTGTACAATGGTAATCTTTGGCAGATTATAAAAATGGGGCTGAAAAAGTGTACAGATTCAACTATATTTCGTTGTTTTATGATATACTGTAGAAGCAAGAGGACAGAGGTGGTGGCGGGTGTAGATGGCTTCCTGGTGTATGACCTTGGACTAGTGGAACCTGCCCTTCAGGTGGGTCATGAGCACTTGCCTTTCACATTTTCTCAAATAATGGTGAAAATGTGAGCAAAAACATTTCTTTCTAGAATGTATGTTATAGTTCACTTTTCATTCGTTACAATGTGAGTAAAGTTCAATTTTTGTTTGTTAAAATGTAAATGTTCTCTTTAGATAAGAAATATTTTGTTTTGAGAGTATGTGTTCCTTATTTTCCTGAAAAATGTTAGAAACATTTCATTTCAGATTCACTCAGTATATAATGTTGAATTTTATTTTTTGATGAATGAAACCCAGAAATCATGAGATCCAACCTTATATGAAATTATATCTGAATTCTTCTAAACAGAAGAGACACTATTCTAAGCTGTTTTTTTTTATTTAGCTGTTGCAGGAACCAAGAGAATGTGTACCAAAGTTAAATAACCAAATCACATCATCTGATCTCTTGAGAATACCCCAAGTAAGTAAATCTTATTACAATATGTTTTGCCACATTTACTTTTTTTATTTATTACATCATTTGTTGCCTCATTTCCTTCTTATCACATTTTGGGAATGACCTTGACCCATAATGTTGACTTTGACCTCAGTTTACCTAATCATGGGTCTACAGGGGTCGCAGCAGCCCCCATGGGTCTCTAAAAAATGGCAAATACCCAGATATTGGCCTTTGGTCTTTCAATGACCTTGACAACCCATAATTGTTGACCTTTACCTCGGGTCACCTATTTGTGGGTCGCCAAGGATCACAACAATCCCCAAATGCCTTAAAATGCCAAACACCTTAACATTTACCTTTGACCATACCATATAGTCAGAAGATTTTATATGAGTTAATTGTCTTATAAAACATTTTAGGGTGGTGATACAATGGAAGGCTTGAAGCACAATATAGCTGTCACCATTCTCTTCATATACGCCTGGTTTCAAGGTAAATACACATACAATCTGTCTATTAAAGTAGCTCACTCTGTAGATAACTCCCAGAAAATAATTACATTCCAACATGTAACTTACAATATCAATGGACTACTATTATAAAACAATTAATGTTTGAGTGTATAGCATGAGTTTCATATTCTGTTTATTGCATCTCATCTTGCTCTCAATTTCATAGTTGATTGAAAATCTATAAATAATATCAAGTAATAAAAGCCAGGGACTTATGCAGGTTAAATGTTTTACTTTGTCTGAATGTCAAATGGTTAGTTAAACTTTGCAGAAGTTTTCTTGCAAAAAATTATTCTTTTAAGTGATATTGTCTAAAATCTTTTGCAATGTGTGAAAAATTGAATTTGTGCTGCCACGCTTATGCAAAATCTGGAAATAACACATACCGTACATTGTTAAATCATCCTACAATTCAAATTTCAACTTGCTTCTCATTGAAGAAATCCTTTTTGGCTGACCCTCTAATTGTCAAAATTGGCTACGAGGACTCCTCAGATTGCTTTCAATCTTAAAGTCTAGTTATTTTATTAACCATGAAAATGGAAGATACAAAACAAACAATATGTATATATAAACATACTCTTGTACACAAAATAATAATAATATAGCCCGCAGACCTCCTAGACTTCCATCAATGCGAACATCAGTTGTGATCTCGCGAACTACGTTCCTTGCGCTCGAACCATGATTCTCACGTCGCAAACGTGAAATCTAGGAGGCCTGATCCTAGATAGGCACTCCATATGCAAAAACACTTGGCTTTGGATCAATGTCAAGCAATCTAATTGGTTGATGCAAAAACACTTGGTTTTGGATCAGTTTCAAGCAATCTGATTGGTTGATTCAAAACACTTGGTTTTAGATCAATTCCAGGCAATCTGATTGGTTTAGGCAAAAACATTAGTTTTCGATCAATTTCAAGTAATCTGATTGGTTGATGGAAAAACACTTTGTTTTGGATCAATTTCAAGCAATTTTCTCGGTTGAGAGTATTTAACCATTAATAACTATTATAACTATGTATAGTGGAAGTAAATAATTAATTCAAACCAAGATATATAAAATTGATTCAAATTTCAAATGCCATCTTAATTGGAGTCAAGGGTTCTTAAATTGTCAAATCAAGGCTGAAATAATAAACTATTTCAAAATGTTCTACAACTATAGTAGAAGCCAAAGGCGATAAGGAGCAAGGGGTAGGGGTCCTTTTTCCTCTCACATTTAAGATGTTTGAGTCATATGTTCTCTCATATTCAAGAGGTTACAATCATATTTTAGAGTCTTATGTCCTTGTACGTTCAAGAAGTTATATATATATATCAGCATGTCCTCTCATGTTGAAACGTTAACAGTTGGTTGTAAGAATTCCGTTGAACTTGTCTCTGTCCCAGTGATGGGCCTCAAATACAAGAAGAAAGTCATAGTTCCCTAATATCCAAGAATTTACTGCCCTTAATATGAGAAGTAACTCATAGTTCCTCTATTATTCAAGAATTTAATGCCCTCAAATACGAGAACCAAGTCATAGTTCCTCTCATATACAAGAATCTACAGCCCTCAAATATGTAAACTCATAGTTCCTCTTATATCTAAGTTTTACAGCCCTCAAATACAAAAAGGAACTCACAGTTCCTCTATTATTCAAGAATTTACTGTTCTTAAATACGAGAACCAAGTCATAGTTCCTCTATTATTCAAGAATATACTGCCCTCAAACACGAGAAGTAACTCATAGTTCCTCTATTATTCAAGAATATACTGCCCTCAATACGAGAACCAAGTCATAGATCCTCTCATATTCAAGAATTTGCTGCCCTCAAACACGAGAAGTAACTCATAGTTCCTCTATTATTCAAGAATATACTGCCCTCAAACACAAGAAGTAACTCATAGTTCCTCTATTATTCAAGAATTTACTGCCCTCAAACACGAGAAGTAACTCAAAGTTCCTCTATTATTCAAGAATTTACTGCCCTTAAACACGAGAAGTAACTCAAAGTTCTTCTATTATTCAAGAATTTACTGTTCTCAAATACGAGAAGTAACTCATAGTTCCTCTATTATTCAAGAATATACTGCCCTCAAATACGAGAACCAAGTCATAGTTCATCTCATATCCAAGAATAAACATATTGTTATAGTTATATATTTCCCCTCATAACCAAGATTCTCAGTCCTTTACATCCAAGAGTTCATACGGTCTGCTCCAGTGGCCTTGTCGGACGCCACACTAGAGTTGGAGTAGGTAACTTTTGCCACAGTCGTTGACTTGCATTTCTGTTCTTTTGAGAGATGTCGTTGAGTAGATGAAAAAGAAGAAAAACTCTTCACTCGTGGTGCACGTGTCAACATATGGCGTAGGCCCTCATTAATATCTGACATTGAGATCAAACAAATAAGAGGATTCACCACAACGTGGCTATGAAAGATTATGAGCAAGATACGGATGGCCCATGTGGGGATAGTGCTAAGATAAGGATCGACAAGAGTATAGATGGTGAAGGGGAGATAACAGATCGTAAATGCAATGAATAAGATGCCCATTCTCTTACACGCGTTCACAAACTGACGCTTTATGATCTCATTTTCAAATGTATTCTGACGTTCTCCAATGATAACAAGAACTCTAGCATATGCAAAAATACAAATTACGTAGGGAACTATTGAACAGATTGTGAAATGAATATAAATCTGTGTCTCAATATTTTGAACAACATCAGCGGTCCATGCACTGACACAAAGACCTAGCATAGGGGCATAATCAGCTTGGACATAGCCTATTAAATGAGGGAGAACAACGACAAGGCCAACCAACACAACGTTTACCAAAAGGCTGATGATAACAGCACGAGAGCCAGTAAGAATTTGAGCGAGGTTTGATCTAAACTTGGACTTGAGATAACAATTGACAGCCACCAATGCATGAGTCATTAAGGTTAAGGATATGCAAGAGGCTTGAATGAGAGCAACTGTATCACACAACACCTTGCCGAGGTCCCACTTATTTTTCATAATGGAATAAGGGTACAGAGAACTCACACAGACTGTACAGAAGTCGAATACAGAAATTGAGCACAACATTATATGTAAGGGCTTGCGGAACCTCTTGTTGTATACTAAAGTCAAGAACAAGAGAAAGTTAGCAGGAATCCCTACGATACTAATAAGTGCCGTAAAGATGGTCTCAATGATGCGTTCCTCAAATGTAACAGCTGCCACTGTTAGCATAACTTCTGTGATATTTTCCGTTATGTTCCAAAATGCGTCCGTTGTTACATTGGTGGTAAATACAGCTGTACTCTGATCATTTCTTGTTGAGGCATTCTGCAGTAGCGTTGTATGAAAAGCACTTAGCGTTTGGTCGTTGTTTGCATTGGCACCTGCAAGTGTGTTACTATGTAGGAGCTCGCTGGGCAATGTGGTCTGCTCCTGAGTGAATGCAGAGAATTGCATGGTAGTAATAGTTGCACAAGAACTGTTAGAGCTGCAGATAATTGAGTTATTCGTCATCTTACTGTAAAACAAAGCAAACAAGGGTAAAAATGATGGTATTTGTCCTGAATCTTAAATGAGAAAGGTGATGTGTCGTGGAATATCACGATGCCCATGTCAAGCAGCGTGCCTACTAGGCACGCAGTTTGAAACTCTGACAAACTGCGCGCATATTTCAGTATTGAAGACGGGGAGGACACGACTCCCAAAAAGAGCCAAAATACGAAAAATACAAGGTTAGTCTCGTTCTATAGATTCTACCATTCTGTGAAGATGAACTTAATTTACTCTTAGTACTCAATGTTTTTCCCGATGTTAACCTAGTTATCTCAATATAAGGGTCTTAAGTAACTTCTGTGCTCAAAATTTAAAGTGTAAAGTTATATCTTTGTATGTTTATTGTCATATGCCGTTTATTCAGCCATTGTGTCTGTGTATGCTAGAATATATAGGATCACTCCATCTGATTAAAGCAGCATAGTTTGTGTTCAAAACGATAATACGCCATAAAAGTGATTTAAACATTTTTCTTGTCAAACTGCGCGCCTATATGCACATGTATTTCCCAAACTGCGTGCCTAATTGCCTATCCAAGCTTGTTTTGTATTATTAGAAAACGTAAGCGCCATATGTAAGGCACATATGTGTCTAATAGTAGAACCCTATAATTGAAACACTATGAGAGTCCATCCACCAAATGGTAATCTTAAAATAAAATACTTTCTTTCGTTCCCAACTTAATTGTCACTTCTATTATACATTTTGACTTTCAATATGAAAATCTCATAAAATCTGACGATAAAGCAAAATTTCCAAAGCTATATGAAAAACACCTTTACGTGCCTCTGTAAAAATTTCAATGATAATATGTAGTTTTAATAGTGTATGCGCACAGTTTATAATTTCTGGCTCTAATAGGCGCGCAGTTTGTGGTTTATTTCTTTTTAATCTCCTGATTATCTGTTTTATCTCGAAATATTTTGAATTATACATGATAAATGCGTAAGGAATTAAATATAAAACGAGTCTAAAGTATTTGTCATTTATTAAAGTGCTAGATCGATTTACTTATAAATTCCCGTTAAATCAGTGACGAAAATGCCATTAATCTGCTTATGTTTTAAAACTTAGATTCATTTGCACATAGTTTTTGCTAGTATTTGCAAGATTTGTATATTTGCCACAGAATGAACGCATTGAACAAGAAAACAACGCAGGATAAATGTCCTTAAATTACGTTTCAAAATACAGACTCCAACTTAAATGATGCAATGTTGTTAGGCACGCAGTTTGTGATCGAAACAAACTGCGCGCCTACTTAGGCGCGCAGCTTGACATGGGCACCGTGAATATGATCCATTTAAATTGATGAATATTCAAGTTTAAGTTTCTTCTCTATCTGCCATATTATCTGTTATGTTATTTGGCATCTGGGTTATTATGCAATTGAGATATTTTCAGAATCTAAATAATAAGCAAATAACCCAAAAGTGAAGAAAAAAGCTAAATCATGTTTTATCAAAAGAGAACAAAGGCACGAAAACATCTTCAAATGTTACTAATTGTGATTCATATATTTCTAGTACATAAACACTTCATATTTTATATATAAGTTTTATATTTAGTATCACACTGAAATCAATACAATCAGACAGTAGAGACTAGAGAGGTTCACTGGTCAGAATCAAGCGAAGGTAACAGCCGTTACCTTTGCATCAAAGATGGTGGATGGGAAGTGTCGATTTCGATATTTTTAGTTTTCATCGAATTAAACTACAGGGTGGTAAAAAAATGGAAATCCTTTTGCCATTTTCCTCATATCTTTGTCATTTGAGGAAATAACTCCCTGATATTTGGGACAATTGTACATCATTCCATTTCCTAATGGCCTACCATATTTTATGACCATCAAATCGATAGTCACAATGTTACAGCACTTAAAACAACATACTCCAGTGGCCAATATTGCACTTTCGGCAAACCTGCACCCATCATCCAAAATGTCCCTACCTAACTTCAACCTGTGGTGATACACCAAAAAGAGTGTATGAGAATAACCCCAGGACAACTGCAGACCTCAAAAAGGAGATGATCCATGTCATTCAGGCCATAACTGCTGAAAAATGTAGTCAGATCATTGACAACCTGTTCAGATTTGCCAATAGTGCGATGGTGGCCACACGGTGGCATCTTGTTCAAAGTGCTGTACCATTGTGACTATCAATCTGATGGTCATGAAATATGGTAAGCTAGTGGGAAATTGAATGTTGTACAAATGTGTCAAATATCAGAGAGTAAATACCTAAAATGACAAAGATATGAGGAAAATGCAGGGTTTCCATTTTTTTGACCACCCTGTACTTGAGAGGTGACGTTATGCTTTGATATTTGAAAACGTTTTATTTTGGACCACCCCATCCTCCGGTCACAGGGCTTCTCGATCCAGAATATCTTCTTCCCCGCCCCCCCTCCCTCCTGCGATAAGCAGTTAGGATTTCCCCTATTAAGAACTCACAATCTGATTTGCTGTCACTTCACTGAGACAGCCAATCAAATTATCTCTTAACTCTGGCATTTGATGTTTTTGAGATCCCAACCTTATACAGGGTGTCCCGAGAATATGGGACCCCCCAGGGGCATATTCCAATACCAATGTCTCCAAAGTATGTGTTATATATCATTTTAAAGCTCATCCAAAGTTACACTGATTTGCCAAGTATCATGGTTCAACGCAAGTTTGAAAAAATTGTAATCCAAAGAAAACGATGGATTCTCAATCTTTAAGATTTTTCATGATGATTTGACAGGTTGAATGACAAAAGAAATATGGAATAAAGAATATATGATTGTTAGAAGTACTTGTACTATCAAAACGGCAATGAGATATACCGACAAAAGAGTTCAATCCACTCTTATATTTTATTTTTATTTAGTAGTAAATGGAAAATTTGAATATTAGAAGAAGACAAAGTCAAAATATTTTTACATTATTTTGAGAAAAAACAGTTTTGGAGATGCTTTCCAAAAGCAATTTTATCTTATATATGATATATATATCTAATGTATTAAATGTTCATTATGTTATATTTATTAAAAGATTTAATAAAAAAGAATGATGTTTTGACTGCAGGATGACTAGGATAGGAAAAGTTTTACCTTTTGGTATTGTGCAGCAAAGTTCCGAATGTATCCGCACTCTTTCTTCACTTCTATCCCGCATCTATTGGATCCCAGTATCCCAGTAGCAAAGAAGATGTTCTGAATGCTTTCTCTCATTGAAATTCATATTTATACGGCTGACAAAATGATTTTTTATTTGTAAGTGCTTTCTAGAAGCAATCTTAATAGTAAATAACAGATGAGGTCCGCCAGTAGCAAATTTAAGGTAATGGATTTCATTCATTGAAATCCATTTTTATACATCTGACCAAGTGATTTTGTTCAAAAAACAATTTTAAAAGTAAAAAAACATATGAGGTCCCCCATTAGCGACTTTTAAGCTAATGGATTTCATTTTGAATAAACATGTTTTTTTTTCAATTAACAATATATAAGATTCCATCATCTGGTACCTTGAATGACCAATGGCTAACATACTCCCCTTTGGCTATTACAATTTGATTCTATAGTTTTGTAATGCTAATCAATATAAGATAAGATAATCATTTTTCTTTTTAGATTAACATTTCTTGTTTTGTGCTCTAAAAATCCCAAAATTTTGAAAATCGTAAAAACATGAAATTTAGGTGTTCAATATTAATTGTATGACTAAACTGAAGCTGAAAACATTGGATAGCGTAAGCTTCCCCTGTTGAAATATGACAAATTTCACTTTTTGGAAGTTAATCATCAAGTGTACATAATGTCGACATAACAAGCATTGATGGGCTTTGATATGCTATATATCCTATAAAAATTCTTGGTTGCCAAACTTATTGAGTGGTCAGTGTAAGAAATTGCTGATTGGATTCACTCGTAGTTTATGACTTTCATAACTGCTTATGTGACATTCATTGGATGCAGCTGAGTAATAATACTAGATACAAATATATAGATATGCCTCTTTAGGTGAAAGCTCATGATTTTAGGTTTTCTGTCTTATTCTCACATTATCTTTTCTTATTTATTTTATTTATTTTTCTTATTTATATTTATCTCTTTGTGTAATGATACATTATATTTTCTAATTTATGTTTAGCTTATATTTGTTGCGTTATGTTACATTAGCTGTTAGGAAGAATAACAAAGGGAAATACAAGGATGCTGGGGGAGGTCAAAGGCAGTCTAAATCTGTTTTTTTGTAGTCGAATAGTATTGTATTATTTACTACCCACCATTGTGTATTAAATATAGCAATACCTCTAGATGTTACAATATGCTCTTATGTATCAGTAATTATAATCAAAATCATTGAATTAAATGATACAATAACTTTTAACTGCTAGTATGATAATCATATTGATTTGTACTGTATAATGCCTTGAAATTAAAAGATAATTCCTGAGATATCGACCACAGATAGTTCTATTCATGCACTTGTGACTTGTGTGATGTTCTGCGCCTCTCAGGAAGTAAACAATGCATATAGGGACCGCTGTTAGATTGCTTGCAATCTTATTATCATAAATGTTTCATTGATAAAAAACGTTAATTTTGTGATAGTGAATATAGCATATTACATGTATTACATTTTTGGGAAAACAAGTAGATGTACTGCTGATAATTATAATATCCTCACTGGCGAAAACAAAGGAAAAACTTTAATTTTGTGATAATTATAATGTTGCAAAATGTATTAAATATTAGATATTTGGGAAAACAAGTAGATGTACTGCTGATAATTATAATATCCTCACTGATGAAAACAAAGGCAAAAACTTTAATTTTGTGATAATTACAATGTTGCAAAATGTATTAAATATTAGACATTTGGGAAAACATGTTGATGTATTGCTTTTAATTATAATATCCTCACTGGCGAAAACAAAGGCAAAAACTTTGATTTTGTGATAATTATAATGTTGCAAAATGTATTAAATATTAGACATTTGGAAAAACATGTTGATGTATTGCTTTTAATTATAATATCCTCACTGGCGAAAACAAAGGCAAAAACTTTAATTTTGTGATAATTATAATGTTGCAAAATGTATAAAATATAAGATATTTGGGAAAACATGTTGATATATTGCTTTTAATTATAATATCCTCACTGGTGAAAACAAAAAACACTGTAGGCGATCAAGCTTCTGTCTTGAACATTTTTTATTATTATTAATTTTACAAATCCTCAACTATGTGTGTTATCATTATTAGCAGGCAAAATGCTTGACATGTGAGCAAAAAAGCCAAGATGCTTTAGACAAATTGATTAAAATACTTGAAATATTTAACAGCACAGGCCCAAGCAGTAAATTATATGATCACATTATCTTAAACAAACAAAAACAATCATTCCTGCGTGGTAACATCTCATCTTTTCTTCCCAATTTTTACCACTTCTTGGCTTTCAAAGGTGAATGTATGAAGCCTAGGTTTAAAAGCAGTAATTCTCTAACTTATTTCCAGTAATTTTGCCAATTGTTTTCATTTATTTCGCCTCATTTGAATGAACAATTGGCTTCAACTTTTCATATTTATAGGTGAAGGCCACTTTGTGTACAAAGGTAACGTTGAAGATTCTGCTACTGCCGAGATATCTCGCTCTCAAATCTGGCAGTGGATACGCCATCAGGTCCCTCTGGAAACATCAACGTCCACTGCTGCCATGGCAACCACTGAGTCAACCCCTGTCACCATAGTAACAGTCAAACTTGTGAAAACATTAATTGAGGCATTTCTTCTGGATTGCCACAATAGTGATGTTATGTATAAACAAGATAGTAGAAGATTAGAAGCTGCCGCTCGTGTCATGGAGAATATTGTTACTTCTAGAGAGTTCCTAAACTTTATTACTACATATTTGTATGAGTCGAATATTGTCAAGTATATGCAAAAGATGGAGTAATGATAGACATACAATGATATCATTGTGAAAGAATAGAGGTTTTGCTATATAACTTCTTATTTGCATAATTAACTATAAGGACTTACATAGTGCGATTGGTGGCAAGAATAATTTTCAAATTATTTGAAAAAATATTAACAAATTATGGTTTGAAATGCTCAGAATGCACCATATTCAATGTAAATGTTAAAAAATTGTCTAAGGGTGAACCCCAGTTAATCCACCTTTTTGGGGGCTCACTTCGTTTGCAATGATGGAAATCCAAAAAATCACACCCCCTTGACATTTGCTGGCTGCACCCCTGTGTCTTATCAGGATCTTCAATGCTGTGGAAGTATTGACAGTTTTTATTCACTAAAAAGAAAAACAGGTAATTATTAATGAAAAATCTATGAAAGATTCAATATGTGTATCTTTAATCTGACAATAGCTCCCATTCTGTATAAAGTCTGTTACACTAGCAGTTTGTGTAACATAGAGTTACAATGATTATATTAAAGTCTTGATTGTGCATTTTACAATGCAAAATATGAATCTATTTTTTATATTGTTTTTATTGTACATTTATATACATTTACCATTAGTCACGAGTCATGATTTATTCTTAAAATTAATGTATACATTTTACAAAATAATATTTTGATATTGCATTGTCTATTCCAATTGTATGATTCAGATTTTTAATAAACAGATGCAATAATAAACGTTGCCTTGGTGATAATTGAACTTTATTGCATAGCATCATGAGTGAGGTCCAAAAATACATAGAGATCGCATCAAAACAACAAATTAAGGAAGGGCGATAATAGATATAATATCCCAATCAACAAAATATCTAGAAGATATTAAAATTCAGTTCATATTCTAACTCCAATAAAAGGGCATGAATTAATGAAACCTACATTTGAGATCATATCTACACTATCTCCATAACATGTAAAATTATTTCTTAGGGGTTCACAAGTTCACTTTACATGAAGATAGGTTCATTTAAGAATTCTGGGTGTTTTCCTCTCGTTTTTCAGAATTATCACAAACTTAAAACCGCTGCAGTCTATTTTAAACCAAACAATGTAATCTATTTCGTACAAATATGAACAAAATACCATATGATTTTAATTTAGTTATAAAATGGTTTATTCTACAATTGTATATCTCAATGATATACATTATGTTCACTTTTTACAAGTATTAAATACACACATTATACAAACATCGCCATCTATTGTCCACCAACAATCCTAGACTCGTGGACACTTCCTTTGGCTGATCAAATCAAAATGTAAATTATTGTGGAAAAACATTATTTTTTTGATACAAGAAAGTTACACAATAGCAAGTACAAATTGCATTATTAACCCTGTCACAATTTATGAGTGAAAATAAAGGTGACTTTATTTTCCAAAACTTCTAACACTTATTTTGAGTGAACATTTTTTGCATTTACAATTCTTGTATTTTAAAATGCCTAAATATTGTACTTTCAAATCTTCAGTATTACATTGCTTAGTGACAAGCAACATTTTATCTTTAATTACAGATTGATATCCAAGAAGAAATAGGCAAGAAACAATTGTATCTTAACCACAATAAAACACGTTTCAGAGGCGTATTATATCAACAATGCTGCTACGAGCCCAACATTTTAATCATCAACTATTTTGATCACTGTTTAACTTCTAATATACTTTACAGGTTTACTATACCTTGTATATTGACTATACCTGCTCAGAATGTGTCTTCAAAATGTATTTTGACAAAAATTTAAATAATGGACCATTTTATTATTATTTTAAAGTGACTACCACAATTCAACTTACTCACTGACTTATTGAAAATTCATCCCCAACTCTCCTTTATAATTTTCCATTCTAATCAATCCCTTATGTAGAATAATTATCATTTTGTGAATAAGGACTGAGAACATTAATTCCTATATGAAGTAGACACTGTTTGTTTATAGCAACAATTGTAACTTCACTACATATTATATGAACAATGGCTCATATGAAATATCACTCATATGAACAATCCCTCATATGAAATATCACTCATATGACCAATCGCTCACTCACATGAACAATGGCTCATATGAAATATCACTCATATGAAATATCACTCATATGAACAATTGCTCACTCACATGAAAATGGCTCATATGAAATATCACTCATATGAACAATGGCTCATATGAAATATCACTCATATGAACAATCTCTCATATGAAATATCACTCATATGAACAATCATCTTAAGCATTGCATGAATGAGCATTCGATGGGAATCATAACAACACTGAAATGAATTAATCTTGCTATCTTTGTATGCATATTTATTGAATATCCCTTGTATTAACTGATTAATTTATATGCATATTTCTTGAACAGCCCTCAAAGAAATGTTTTGTGAATTGACTGTAAAATAATATACTCTTCAAATCATTATAATATGAAACTGCTGGTTTGTAAAAGCACAAAAACTATTGTCCTGTACATTCATCAAACAATGCATAATAACAATATTAAGCCACAAATGCATTTTTCAATAATTCAGGTTATGCATAATACTTATTCATAGTCTACTTTCATAGTCTATCATCAAAGTTCACTTTCGTCGCCGCTTTTCACCCACAGTCTATTTCCCTGGTCTCTGATTTAATAGTCTACTTTCATAGTCTTTTATTATTAAAGTCCACTTTCGTAGTCTACTTTCATACATCTATTTGCCTAGACTCTTTAAATGATTTCATAGTCTATTCTCATAGTCTACTTTAATAATCTATTATTTAAGTCCACTTTCATTGTCTACTTTCATACATAGCCTATTTTCAAAGTCTACCTTTGCACTTGGAGGCCATCTTGATTCATAGGTGTTAAAACACCTTGGCAGGTGAAGATGCTTGGAGGCACATTTATTGAATATAGTTCTGGTTTGAAACATGAATTACCAGATATGAATTATTCATTATTCCACCAAACTTATTCTTTATGTGCACATGGGTCTCACATATGTGAAGCACATCTTTTTGAGCACATTCTTGACTTGACTCTCCTACATAATATTTGATCTGTTTTATTGTGCATTGTGTAAAATGAGACACATAGATTATGACTGAATATTTCATTAATCACAGTAATTATTTATTCCGACGTTGTATTTTGTTCAATTCATACAGCTAGCTGATTTCATAATGCTCATTTCATGATCAGAGAATAAAATGCAAATACAATCAGATGGAAAATAACTCCCACAAACAAATGTTCAATACTATATAATAAAAAATTATGGTATTTCATATTTGCTTTGAGAAAACTGATATGGCATTAGAGAAGTGCAAATGACATCAGAGGTGCAGATGACATCAGAGGTCCAGATGACATCAGAGTGGTACAGATGACATCAAAGAGGTGCAGATGACACCTGACAAATAACCTTGATCACACTACAGCATTCATAAATTTTACTTAATTTTAAATCATTTATGTCATAATTTAACACTGATTATTCCATTAACTCCATGCACGTTGATTCCTCAATTTCACTCCAATTTTAAATAATATCCCATTTATTCACGGTTCACTAGTTTCTGGTCCATTAGTGATAGGTTGTGCAACGTCCCCTCCATTCATGGTTTCAGATTTAGGACTTTTGAAAAATGTCGCAACACGGAAGCGAGCGTGACAGGCAGCTTTGAAAGCTTCCGTTTCAACAGGACAGTCTCCTAATTCTCCTTTACACAATGATGTCAGGATCTCAGCACAATTCTGCAAACATACAATAAAACTTACTTCAAAACTTACAGTTAAACCTGTTTAATACAAACGCCAATGGGACTGGCAAAAAGTGTAGGTGGTAGGTGTTCACATATGAGTTTTTTAATTTGTAAATCTATGGCAGATTAAGAGAATGAGTCTGACATTTACAGGTTTTACTGTATTCATATTATTGACTACACTTAACAGCAACTGTGACCATGGCGTTAATATTTATGTGGATTGACCACCTTGTATCATAGAGTACAATCTGGATGGAACATTTGAATATTACATACCTGTGGAGTGACCCCTTTGGTGTCATCATCACCCAGGTTTGTAATTAAACTCACTGCCTCCTTGCTATTCTTATGCAGTTCATAAAGCATCTTAGCACCTGGAATGAAGAACATACAGTAAGAACTCCTTATAAAATATTCATGAACTCATTCTTGAAATGGCTATCATTGGTTCTTTTTTGAAATTCATCTGTTTTTATGAACATTTCTTGAACTGTTCAAGAACATGAAATGAAGTCGCTAAGAACAAGCAAGATCTCACTTAATATAAAAACTCACTTGAGGATAATGAATTTAATTTTTAGAGATGGTATCCAAATGTCAACAGTTGTGCCAAAACAATTGTGTTTCAATCTTTTCAATTCTTGCATCCCCAAGTTGTCATTTACCCCTTTATTGAGGCAGGCCTATTAAGTATACGGTTAAGGTAGGCAGAATAGAATGAGTACCCTGGGCAATAAGTTTGAATCATATACATGCAATCAAACGAACTGACTCTCAGGGTAGTCACCTCTTACTTTGAATCCCACTAAACATTGTACAAAGCAAATAAATTTGTCATATTTCTTTCTTAACACAATTTTATTTCAAAATACAAGTAAATAAGTCAAAATCATGAGAGAATGTCAACTCGTTACACTGTCACAGACTGCGACCCAAAAATTGTGATTGTTTTTGTCATCTCATCTTGATGACATAAGAACAAGGGATTCTATTGCGCAGTACATACCTGCAAACTGATGCATGAGAGAGTTTGTATTTCTGTTGAGAAATTCTTTATTGAGAGTATCGGGCGTATGTTGGCCATAAATTGACTTAATTCCTTCTTCTAAGACTGTTTTTACTGCATCAGCTAATTCACCACTTGCTTGCACTGAAAGGTACATTGAAGATATTGTTAAAAATAGTGAATAGAGAAAGGCAATACAACTGAAAGGTACATTGAAGATATTGTTAAAAATAGTGAATAGAGAAAGGCAATACAACTGAAAGGTACATTGAAGATATTGTTAAAAGTAGTGAATAGAGAATGGCAATACAACTGAAAGGTACATTGAAGATATTGTTAAAAGTAGTGAATAGAGAAAGGCAATACAACTGAAAGGTACATTGAAGATATTGTTAAAAGTAGTGAATAGAGAAAGGCAATACAACTGAAAGGTACATTGAAGATATTGTTAAAAATAGTGAATAGAGAAAGGCAATACAACTGAAAGGTACATTGAAGATATTGTTAAAAGTAGTGAATAGAGAAAGGCAATACAACTGAAAGGTACATTGAAGATATTGTTAAAAATAGTGAATAGAGAAAGGCAATACAACTGAAAGGTACATTGAAGATATTGTTAAAAATAGTGAATAGAGAAAGGCAATACAACTGAAAGGTACATTGAAGATATTGTTAAAAATAGTGAATAGAGAAAGGCAATACAACTGAAAGGTACATTGAAGATATTGTTAAAAGTAGTGAATAGAGAATGGCAATACAACTGAAAGGTACATTGAAGATATTGTTAAAAATAGTGAATAGAGAATGGCAATACAACTGAAAGGTACATTGAAGATATTGTTAAAAATAGTGAATAGAGAAAGGCAATACAACTGAAAGGTACATTGAAGATATTGTTAAAAATAGTGAATACAGAATAGAGAAAGGCAATACAACTGAAAGGTACATTGAAGATATTGTTAAAAATAGTGAATAGAGAAAGGCAATACAACTGAAAGGTACATTGAAGATATTGTTAAAAGTAGTGAATAGAGAAAGGCAATACAACTGAAAGGTACATTGAAGATATTGTTAAAAGTAGTGAATAGAGAAAGGCAATACAACTGAAAGGTACATTGAAGATATTGTTAAAAATAGTGAATACAGAATAGAGAAAGGCAATACAACTGAAAGGTACATTGAAGATATTGTTAAAAATAGTGAATAGAGAAAGGCAATACAACTGAAAGGTACATTGAAGATATTGTTAAAAATAGTGAATAGAGAAAGGCAATACAACTGAAAGGTACATTGAAGATATTGTTAAAATAGGGAATAGAGAAAGGCAATACAACTGAAAGGTACATTGAAGATATTGTTAAAAATAGTGAATAGAGAAAGGCAATACAACTGAAAGGTACATTGAAGATATTGTTAAAAGTAGTGAATAGAGAAAGGCAATACAACTGAAAGGTACATTGAAGATATTGTTAAAAGTAGTGAATAGAGAAAGGCAATACAACTGAAAGGTACATTGAAGATATTGTTAAAAGTAGTGAATAGAGAAAGGCAATACAACTGAAAGGTACATTGAAGATATTGTTAAAAATAGTGAATAGAGAAAGGCAATACAACTGAAAGGTACATTGAAGATATTGTTAAAAATAGTGAATACAGAATAGAGAAAGGCAATACAACTGAAAGGTACATTGAAGATATTGTTAAAAATAGTGAATAGAGAAAGGCAATACAACTGAAAGGTACATTGAAGATATTGTTAAAAGTAGTGAATAGAGAAAGGCAATACAACTGAAAGGTACATTGAAGATATTGTTAAAAGTAGTGAATAGAGAAAGGCAATACAACTGAAAGGTACATTGAAGATATTGTTAAAAGTAGTGAATAGAGAATGGCAATACAACTGAAAGGTACATTGAAGATATTGTTAAAAATAGTGAATACAGAATAGAGAAAGGCAATACAACTGAAAGGTACATTGAAGATATTGTTAAAAATAGTGAATAGAGAAAGGCAATACAACTGAAAGGTACATTGAAGATATTGTTAAAAATAGTGAATAGAGAAAGGCAATACAACTGAAAGGTACATTGAAGATATTGTTAAAAGTAGTGAATAGAGAATGGCAATACAACTGAAAGGTACATTGAAGATATTGTTAAAAATAGTGAATAGAGAAAGGCAATACAACTGAAAGGTACATTGAAGATATTGTTAAAAATAGTGAATAGAGAAAGGCAATACAACTGAAAGGTACATTGAAGATATTGTTAAAAGTAGTGAATAGAGAAAGGCAATACAACTGAAAGGTACATTGAAGATATTGTTAAAAATAGTGAATAGAGAAAGGCAATACAACTGAAAGGTACATTGAAGATATTGTTAAAAGTAGTGAATAGAGAATGGCAATACAACTGAAAGGTACATTGAAGATATTGTTAAAAATAGTGAATACAGAATAGAGAAAGGCAATACAACTGAAAGGTACATTGAAGATATTGTTAAAAATAGTGAATAGAGAAAGGCAATACAACTGAAAGGTACATTGAAGATATTGTTAAAAATAGTGAATAGAGAAAGGCAATACAACTGAAAGGTACATTGAAGATATTGTTAAAAGTAGTGAATAGAGAAAGGCAATACAACTGAAAGGTACATTGAAGATATTGTTAAAAATAGTGAATAGAGAAAGGCAATACAACTGAAAGGTACATTGAAGATATTGTTAAAAGTAGTGAATAGAGAAAGGCAATACAACTGAAAGGTACATTGAAGATATTGTTAAAAATAGTGAATACAGAATAGAGAAAGGCAATACAACTGAAAGGTACATTGAAGATATTGTTAAAAATAGTGAATAGAGAAAGGCAATACAACTGAAAGGTACATTGAAGATATTGTTAAAAGTAGTGAATAGAGAAAGGCAATACAACTGAAAGGTACATTGAAGATATTGTTAAAAATAGTGAATAGAGAAAGGCAATACAACTGAAAGGTACATTGAAGATATTGTTAAAAATAGTGAATAGAGAAAGGCAATACAACTGAAAGGTACATTGAAGATATTGTTAAAAGTAGTGAATAGAGAAAGGCAATACAACTGAAAGGTACATTGAAGATATTGTTAAAAGTAGTGAATAGAGAAAGGCAATACAACTGAAAGGTACATTGAAGATATTGTTAAAAGTAGTGAATAGAGAAAGGCAATACAACTGAATCCACAGAATGAGATTGAATATTGAATACCAATTGATCATTAAAAAAATAGCTGGCAATTTGAACTATTTTTTATAAATTGACTTAAATGGTAGTATTTATCCAAATTCAATGTTCATTATTCAAAAACATGAGCAAAATTCATGCATTATGGTACACAATGAAATTGAGAAAGGATTGATCTAGCTCCTCATTGTTTGCGTTGTAACCTCAGAACTGACGGTCAACATGGGGAATGCCTTTGTACATTGGCTTCAGTCCGCCCGTCACAGTTTAATCATTGGCTACTGCTGGCAAGGAAAGAGTTTATCGATGTCTTCAATTTTGTTGCCTGCTTATACATTTTGAATGCCTGGATGAACTGAGATTAGTTCTTAAAATTTCATTTCCCACCCTATTCAACCCCATTTATCAAGGAAAATAAACTAAATTGGTACCACAATGACATCATGTAAATGTAATCGCAAGTGATCTGTCTAAATAGGGTGAGTTTCAAATTGACAAACCTGATGTATTATAATAATAGCTTACCTTTTTGTAAGAACCTGACTGAGCAAACATGTAACCGAGGATCATTTGAGTCGATTGCATGCCCTCTTTTTATTGCTTGAAACATTAGAAGTATTTTTCCTGAAAAACAAGGACATTAAGACACCTTTTATTACTAGTATATAATATACATGCATAGTAAATATAGAACATGTATGGAAGTTATTTTTTAATGCTGAATTGTAAATCTTGTATTCTGAAAGTATCATTATTTGCAATATCTCATTCACTTGTTAGTTAATTATTATTAGCAAAATAGATGTCTTGTAAAATATCCAGCCTAAACCCAAAATCTAATCAGATCTCGGCACTGGTCTGCTTAATTTTTGCATAGTTAAACCTATTGAATCAATGATGAATGGTTTTCATGCAATAATGAAGATGAGGGATAGTCTGTATTATCTTCATACCTTTCCTAGAATATATTTCATAAGCTAATATATGCGTTGTCATATCTTCCCTAGCAAGTTGCTGTAGGGGCCGTAGGAATTTGATTGCTTCGCCTAATGGATCTTCTGGTTTTTGTAAAGATGCAGGAATAAGCTCTTCCTCTTTGGGACCCTCGACCTAAAAAATCAAGACCCAAACTAAAATCAATTGCTGTTTGAGAAGTAACTGGCATTGACTAACTGAAGAGTTCATAAATCCAAAAATAAACAACTTTAAAATAAATGATTAATTTTTAACATGATAACCTGCATTTTGAAAGTTATAATAATTATCATACAAGACATTAACACCACAAAATAACAGCACTTGGTTGCAGATTTGCAAAAATTACAAAAGCGGAATGCCAAAATATGATCCCAAATGCTGGTGACATAAGATGGCTATAAGAATATGTCACCACTTTTTGTAGGTTACATAAAAGGATAACCCCTTCATATTTTATATTTTGCAAAAACAGAACAATGGGTTCAACAATATCTCTTGATGTAATGATTTGTGATAATAATCATTTGTTATTTTTAATAATTAAAAGTAGTTGTTTCTATGTATTACTGACAAAATGATTTAGTTTTGCAATATTTCAATTTATCATATTTTCCATCATATAATTTTTTATTATGTAAACTTTTCTGCAAATCGAAATATTGCAAAACTTGATCAATTTTGTAATAATAAATGAGATAAATATTGTGGCTATAATTTCTGCATCAACCTCTGGGTCAGCTGGCTTTGGTTTAGATTCTCTTTTGTCTTGTTCTTGTTTCTCTTTGCTCTTCTGTTGCTGTGCCTTCTTCTGCGCTTTCCGCTGCTTGTTACGTAACTTCTTTAGTTCACTAGGTGTTAGGTTTTCTGAAAAATATACGAAAATATACAAAGATTTGCTTTTTTCATGGCTCAAACCAATGTTATCAATTTCTTTAGTTCATTTAAATATCAAAGAAAAACATATGTCCAGCCCAATAGTTCAAAAAGCTAAACCAAATCCCAGCTCAGTAGTTAAAAGAAATGGGCGAACTTTGCATATTTCAGGAACAAACGTGGATGTCAACCTACCTTGATCTTTGCTAATGTTCTCATCACTGTCTGCCACTGGGTGGTCATGAAGGTGTACGTAAATCTGAAGAGTTAGAGCAACACTATAATATGGGGTTAAAGTGGTACTATAATAGAGTAATATCCAGGCTTTAAATTGAGAAATTATCATTATACCCCACTTTAAGTTGCACAATAATGAAGAAGAATGAAGAAATAATACCTGGGCTTAAAGTGGTACTTTAATGGTAGAAATACCTGGGTTTAAAGTGGCACTATAATTGTAGTAATAATACCCGAGCTTGAAGTGGTACTGTAATCAAAATAACTGGCTATTCAAAGGTTCTTGAGCTTTTACAAATCTTCACTTAACATCATAAAAATGTAAAAGCCAGAGATAAACTCTTTCAAATCAAGGGTGAATGGGAATTTTCAATCTACACATATCAACTTAACAATGCATTAACATGCAAAATGTCATCACATTTGTTATAGACCCCAAACACCCAACAACGAACACCAACCACCAACGCTTGTTGATATGACATAAAAAGTATAATAAGATTGACTTGAGAGTAAACATCAATATGATTTTCTTACTTCTATTGCGATTTTAGCTGCCTTGGAGTAGAACGGATGCCTCCTCAAGACATCCTCCAGTTTCAATAGCCCTACATAAGACCTGAGTGTCATCTTCCGCATACAATACGTGTGGAAGTCAAACTGGTCCTCAATGATCTCAGTAAAGTGCTGGAATGTAGAAATTAATATTGTTAGAACTTTTATTTTATTTTTTATATATACTTATCATATACGATAAAATAGGAATGTTAAAACTATGACAACTCCTTTAAGTTAATTCTGACTCTATGACTTCACATGGCAAAACCGTTTGACGCTAATGCTATCTTTTGGGAGTTTGAAGTTTCAAAGGCACAAAGTCATACTCATAAAGTCTATATATCTAATGCCATTTTTAAATTCTACATGATAAAGCTTACTCAACTCTGCGACATTTCAACCATATGTTAATTAAACCTACCCTATCTATTTCATGACATTTTTTCAATGCATCTCCCCATTTTGCCAATCTCTGGAAGGCAGCGGCACACTCTGTTTCAAACCACATACACTGCATCTCATTTAGGTTCTCCATGGCAGGGATATTCTCCTGCAAACATACATGATAAAGTATAGAATCTAATACTTCTAAGACCTGCAATGAGATTAACTCACTACTACTTGAGTTTAGTACTTCTCACATTAATGTTTTCATTTTGGTCCATTGATAGTGTAAGTTGCTAGACCTTGGTTTGTTTTTAAAGCTGCACAGATTTTGACTTTGGTCTAAGTTCTTTTACATACCCTAGTAAACTTTGAACACATATCCTCTGCTTCTTTAACCATGTTAGCTCTTAACATGTACTTGGCACACTTAGAGTTGATGTATCTATCAGCAGTATCCAATGACTGGGCCTCATCCAGACATTTCACAGCTTCATCTATATCACCAGCATGCTGTAATAATACAATAGAGTCATATATCATCTATTATATTAGAGTTGATGTATCCAATGACTGGGCCTCATCCAGACATTTCACAGCTTCATCTATATCACCAGCATGCTGTAATAATACAATAGAGTCATATATCATCTATTATATTACAGTCGATGCATCTTTCAGTAATGGGGCTATGATAGCTTCAAAAGTTTTCAGTTTGGTTTGGCACAAACTTTGAATAACAAATCCCTTCATATTAAGTGTATTCTTACAAAATTGTTCAAATATTTTTCTTTTAAAATCTTTAAATTCTTTAACTCTGTATTAGCCATTCACTCATGCAATATAGAAATCCCTTATATATATATTATACCTTATATATTCTAGCCTTTACTACATATCCCTCTATGAGAGTGGTTGTATGCTCTAGTGCTGTGCTGATGTACTGCAGGGCTACTGTGGTTTGACCCAGTTGGTCATAATGTTGTGCAATAAAGAAATAAGTCCACAGTAATGTGGTTGGTGGCTGTTTCTCTGATGCTTCATCTGCAATTTAATAATAATATGAGATTTTTGTGAATGTCTGTATAGGTTTGTTGATTTAATATAATTTATTTTGCTCAACATAGAAACTAAACATTGAAATAATCCCACCTTCTAATAACAGACAAGGAATGTGGTTTTGAAATGAAATTATTTCTGTTCAGAGAATAAATTGTCTGTGCTTAAATGATTATCAGAAAGAATTTTGATCCATGAATAACCCTAGAATATAAAAAATGAAGATCTACTTGTTACTGTGTTTTATGAGCTACTTAAACAGTAAATCTTGGATCCTCTATAAGAATATAGTCTTCTTTGAAATATATGGGTTTTCAAAATATATAATATTTTCTAAATTATTTTCTTTTAAATGTAGTGCATGGTGAAACATAAGTATGAGGCAAAACAAGCACACTTCATTCAAACATCCCATTTGAAAGAAAGTATTTCTCTGTAATGTTGACTTAAGGTCTCATGGAAGTTAACAGGAAGTGACAAAACAAAAAAATGACAAAGCCATGCTGGATTTTGAAAATTTTTTGAACCAAGATAACAGAGTTCTGTTTGGACCTCCAGTCAGTTTAACTAGTTCCACATATCATTTACATGACCAGGAACACAGTTGAAATGGTCAGAATGACCATAAACATGATAGAATAACCTTTTCAGCCCTCTGAAAATGTGACTAAAAAATAGCTAAGAGTAGGTGCTCAGGAAAGGTCACTGAACAGAATCTTTTGACTTTTTCAGAAAATGTGCCCAATATATTGCTCTAAATGATACAATTCCAAAAAATTTGATATCATTCTTAGAAAAAGAAAAAATTGAAAAAAACTGAATTGAAAATCGATCTATTTTCCTTTTTACTACAGCCATTATTGTTTCAGACGATTTTTTAAAATTTCAAAGATTGTGTCATTTAGAGCAATATATTGGACACATATTCTGAAAAAATCAAAAGATTCTGTTCATTGACCTTTCCTGAGCACCTACTTTTAGCTATTTTTCAGTCACATTTTCAGAGGACTAAAAAGGTTATTTTATCATGTTTATGGTCATTCTGACCCTTTCAATTGTGTTCCTGGTCATGCAAATGATATTTGGAACTAGTAAAACTGACTGGAGGTCCAAACAGAACTCTGTTATCTTGGTTCAAAAAATTTTCAAAATCCAGCATGGCTTTCTCATTTTTTGTTTTGTCATTTCCTGTTAACTTCCATGAGACCTTAAGAAAGTATTTCTCTGTAATGTTGACGACTAACTCACCTGATTTGTTGAACACCTCCTCTGATTTTAATGAATCTATATAGCCTAATAGTAAGTCTTCTATAATTGAAACCTGAAATAAATGTAACACACTTTATTTTAAAGAATATATATAGCCTAATAGGATCGATCTAGGAAGTTTTCTATAATTGAAACCTGAAATAAATGTAACACACTTTATTGGACCAAAATCACACTATTTCACGCCATCAGCTATTGCTTCAAAAATTGATCATTTAATTTACGGCATTTTCTTTTTTAATCAAAAAGGTCAATATTGCAAGATAAATTCAAATCACATTTAAGTTGGATCTAAGATATTAAGCCACACATAAATACCAAAATACTATGAAAAGATAATTTTTCAAAAATGTTGACTTCATATAATTATTACATGTAGTTATTTTTTGCAAAGGCGAATATTGTAAATGCAATTTAAAAAGTAAATAAAAAATAGCATGAAATGTCTTACCTTTTCAGGATCAGAGTATAGAGACCTAAGTGTGACAAATAATGGGGGTACTCCTTTTATTAATGCCTTCTTCAAGTAAGTGTCAACCAGTTTTTTAAATGTACTGCCTGAAAGTCATAACATTACAGAGCAATTTTAATATCTTCAGCCAAATGTAGAAATAGTCAAAATTTGTGTACAACAGTGCAGTAATCTCCCAAGCATGAATGCATGAGGGCTTGCACTCACCTAAAAAATGAAAATCCATTTGCACCCACTTAAAAATGAGACAAATCATGAATAATTGGCATATTTGAACAATTTCGGTCAGAATTTTGAAAATGAGAATTTTGCACTCACTTGAGTAAAAATCCTGTTGAGAATACAGCAGTCAGTGATATCTCATCTTTTTTCTTGTACACAAATAATTTATCCACAGTAAGAAAGCAAGTGGGTGCTTTTGAAAAAAATTGAAAATAGGCATGTACACCTGGTAATGCCTTGGTCACATTTGCTCCGATCAATCGGCCGGGGCCTGGGCGATTGAGTGTTTTGCTCAATATTGTATTCAATTTTGAACAAAATACTCAATCGGTCCAGGCGCCGTAGTGAAAATCAGAGCAAATGTGACCACGGCATATTCTGATTGCACACATTTGAAAGTGATTATTAAAATATAACAGGAAAATAGGCATATATTTGCCAATTTTGGTCAGAATTCTGAAAATGGTGATTTTGCACTTATTTGATGGAAATCATAGGAGAACATTTGAGGCACTATGAAAATGTTGTTTATTATTCTTACCAGATGTGAAGTTGATGGGCAATCTCTTTGGTGCTGAGGCCCTAGGATATGTTTCTAATACATCATTGTATATTTTCAGTCTATCATCAACACTCTCTGAAAATACAAGTCATTAGTATTAGAAGTACAACACAATATGATACATTATTATATCACTATCTAGCTAGCGACAGTATGATTGGTCAAAACCGGGTCACATGTCGTGGGATATCTGGCGATATTCAATGGCAATGCTAATCAGATAAGACAACCGTGAGATATCTAGCGATATCCCACGCTCCCGGGAATTTTCAAAGAATTTGTTTTCGTTCAGTGGTAGTTCAGTGTAAGTCAAAATGGCAGACGAACCGAGTAGATTCGTAAAAAATATGTATTTCAATGTTAACCTATGACTTAATAATATTAGGGATGTTTAGCTAGACAGTGATATAATAAAACAAATATTTCACTCTATTTTCGGTGAATACCTGTAGCACTTTCACAAGGTGATATTCCACTTGCCCTTCGGGATTCGTGGAATATCACTTGTGAAAGATGTACAGGTATTCACCTCAATAGAGTGAAATATTTGTTCAATATCATATAATTACTTTGCAGATAATGTTGGAATGTGGAAAGGCTGAGCATTTTTATTTTTACAATGAAGCTACCTGGTATATTCTTCAAACACTGAAATACAAATGTATACAGAATGTGCATTCATGAATGCTCAATGGTTTTACAAAACTCTTCCAGCTAATATCGTCAACATTTAGCTCATTCTCACTTCTGAATTCATATCCATGTTACCTAAGCACATCTGCTAAATTGTATTACTTACTTATTTGGCTTAATTGTATTACTCAGTTATTTGGCTAAATTGTGTTACTCACTCATTTGGTCAATTGTATAATATTACTCATTTGGCTTAATTATATTACTTACTTATTTGTAAGGCATCTTCAAGTCCTTTGTAGTAAGCAAAATTCTCTGGATTTCTTTCTAAGAGTTTCTTGTATAGTTCAGCTGCTTTGTCTTTCTGATCCATGTTGTTACACAGATGAGCTGTAAATAATGAACAAACAAAATTAAAATCAGATGCTGAGTGGATTAAACCATCCATATTATTCTTCAAGGCTGTGGTACTATTTAACAATGGCTCTGCTGGGACTAAACAAGTTGGTGCTGAGCAAAAATTGAAATCATGAAAAACAGAGACATTTTGATCAAAATTCTTCTTAAATAATGCCTAATGTCTGTTTCCTGTTTTACTCTTCAAATTGCTCTGCTCTAGGTTGAATGAGAACTTTCGCAACCAGATGGAAAACCCCGCTCAAAACAAAACTGCCTCAATACACTTATTTTTTTTTATTTTTTTTTTAAGGTTAAGTTTTATTTATTTGCAATAAGATTATACACTTGTTAACATACTAGGAAGGCCTAGGTAAAACATTACATTATTGGCCTCCCTTTATAAAATTTGCAAATTAACATATATTTATAATGGTTCTCAAAACATGTGTCATGTCTTTTATAAGAGTTACATAGTCCTTATGGGAAATGTAAGGAATGAATGATAATGATTGATGAAAGATGGGTTGCACTTTGTCCTTACGATCATGAATTTTTATAAAGTATCAGATGATTTTGTCTATAAGATTTGCTGATAAATTGGTAATTTCTTTGTTACATTCATCTGAAAGTTTACAATCTCCAAAAAGCATAATCTTGATTTTACTAGACTTTGTTAAAGTGGCAAAGTTGTTATAATTAAAGCTAGGCAGCTCCTTCAGGTTTTGGGTAAAAACTTCTCTGGCTCCATTCGATAGAGGGCAATCAAGGAGTAAATGAGACTTAGTTTGCTGTTGATATCCACAGGGGCAACTGGGATCTGTAAACTCTTTAAAATTGTGTCTGTAAAAATCTGCTCTGGATGCCAGGTCAACTCGGATACGATTCAATTTAATTTCGATAGATCTTTTGAGGTTTAGTTTTGTGGTCAGCACTGAACGGGGGTTGGGGTTATATTTCCATTTATTGTAACGTGACTTAAAGGCTGATATTGAAGGACTGTTCTTGACGTCAAAAGAGATAGTTTTCCATATTCTTATTGGTGCAATGGCTGGTGAATTTGTGAATTTTGTGGATGATCTAGCAGGAATGTTGTATTCGTGTCGGGCAAGAAGAGCACGCTCTACCCCAGGATTTTGAAGATTTCTGTATATGTCATGAACATAGCGAGGGACTTTGTTTTTGGTAACTTTGTACATAAGAGTTGCCATTTTTTCTTGTCTTCTTTCACTTAAAGATTTCCAAATTAAAGCGGATAGAACTTTGATCTCGGAGGAACCCTTTATGGCCACAGTCACTACTAAGGCTGCTCTATAATGCAGCCTGTCGAGTGTGATTAAAGCATAGTTGGGTGCGCAGTTGTAAAAGATAGAGCCGAATTCTATTTTAGGCAAAATAAAAGATAGGTACATTCTTTCAAGATGTTTGGATGAGATTCTATTTTTTAAAGCGATTAAAGGATTTAGCATTTTGTCTATTTTTAATTTAAGCTGATCTATATGTTCTTTGAAATCAAGGTGGTTATCTAAGATAACGCCAAGGTGTTTATGGTGTTTTACTCTCTCTATTTCTCTGTCGCTTAAGGTCAAAATAGGGTAATTTCTTTAGGCTCGACCAGATTTGGAGAAAATAATTTCTTTGGTTTTAGAGGGCTTGAAATTTAAGCCCCATACTCTTGACCAGTCGTAAACATTATCCAAGTCACGCTGTAGTAATAAGTTTGATACTGCAATATCCTCGGACTTTTGAACGGGCACATATATGGATGTGTCGTCGGCATAAATGAAACATTTTGACTGAATGACCTCTGGTAGGTCATTAATGAAAAGCAAAAAAACATACACTTATGTTTTTGGGATAGCAACCAATTAGTATCCCTCTACAGGTTTCTTATTTTACATTTTCTCATTCAGTGTAAATTCTGAAGAAAAAAAACATGTCAAAAAATCCTCTCCTATTTTTTCTAATTAACACTAAGGCCAACCTTTGGTTTCTGTTGCTGCGAGGACATCAACAATGTCAGTCTCATACTTGTCAAGATGTTCCAAGGATTCCTTCTTCATACCAGCCTCTTCCATGATCTTAGCCTCATATAAAAGTAACTCACTTTGCTCATAGTCAAACGTCTTTGGCTACAAATAAACAGGGAAGATATTCATATTTCTGACAGAAATGTAGCGTAAGACCCATCATTAACCTAAATATGGCTGTTCAATAAATATGTAATATTCATTTTTTCACTAAAAAAATCTTGGTTCTAACTATGAGCTGTTTTTTATTGAGTTGAGTTTTTTATTGATAAACAGAATGGTAGGGTTATACCCATTAAATGTAACATGAAAATTGATGTGTTACAAAATGAAATTGAGCTATTTTCAAATTTTTTGAATGATTCGATTAATTAGTGATTCCCCTAGCAGTGATGCAGGTGGCTGCTGCACCCACTTGATATTTTGAAAATAGGCTACCACCCATTTGACAACCAATTTCTTGCACCAACTTGTAAATCAAAAAATGGTGATAATTTTATATAAATGTCAATTTTGATCTGAAATTTAAGAATGAGATTTTGCACCCATCTGAAGAAAATATCCTGAGAAGTTACTTCTCAAGTGGTTCCTGAGAAGTTACTTCTCAAGTGGTTGCAAATTTATAACTTTTGCTATGAAAACAAGACAATTAGAAAATGACAATTTTCATGATTTTTCTCATTTCCAAGTGCAAATAAAATTTCAGGTGGGTAAAAGCATCTTTTCAAAATCTCAAGTGGGTGCAACACCCTCTAGCTTCAATGCTGGAGCTAACTACACAATATCAAACTTAAGGAACTACTCACAGTCTGGGTCTTCCTGAACTCTGCTAGAACACTAAGCGCCATATCATAATCCTTCATTAGATGGAATGCCATGGCATAACCAATCCAAGAGACACGCTGACCTGGACGGAGTACCAACAGCTGATAGCGTGTGTCCTGGAGATTAGAAATAATTACATGTTAATTAGTGTGTATCCTGGAGATTATAAATAATTACATGTTAATTAGCTGATGCATAAATCATGATCTTTTCATTTTTGGTCAATAGAACTTGTGTGTTTAGATATTTTCATGAACTGCATCGAGGATATTTGATAAAAAGTGGAACAACTTTAAGATCTTTGTGAGATAATATGAGAAGGCATAAAGCATGTTTTGATTTATGCTATTTTGTTTGATGAGCCATTTATCACCTATGGAAGAGCAAACCCATCAAAATGCATGTAGCAAACTAGGAATACATGTATTTGAAAAATACATATTATACAAATAATGCATACATTTTGTATATTTAAGTATTCCTGAAGCTTATGGAAATAGTCCCTATTGAAGCCAAAACAGATCTCCTTTAAAGTTGATGTGATTCTGTTCACCAACTGCTTATGATATAACATATGGACATACCTTGTAGCCCTCCAGATCTCTCATCTGAATCTGCAGCAATGACAAATCACGCAGAATCTGTAAGTTGTCCTGAAATAAAGAAATAAAACATTTCATGAGATATTTGAAATCAAATGAGATTGTTAAAATCACCCTTGAAGACCCCTCAGTATTTATAAAAACTTTTTTTTTTTTTTTTTCAAATATAGTTTATTCCAATTTAGGTTTTTACGATACAGAAATACAATGATACAATTAATTACAATAATGTATAATGAGTTATGTTTTAATCATTTTCCATTTGTTTTTGAAAAATACATTTTTACGAGTACAGATTTCAAAATTTAAAGTTTTAATAGTGCCTTCAAAATTACGCTTAATACCATTATTCAGTTCTTGAATATATGTTTTATATATAACAAATGACACAATACTTATAAAATAGTTTAAAAATTCAGTATGATTGTCATTTCCATTGTAACCAATTATCAATTTTCTGTAAGTTACTCTTAACCCTGAGATATTATAAATATGTTTCCAAATGTTTTGAGAATATGAGCATGAAAATAACAAATGTTTCAAGGTACATAATTCATTACATAAACTACATTTGTAGGTTTCACTTTTACCAAATATATATAAATCACTAAGGCTAGGAAGAATATTGTTGATTATTTTAAAGTTGAAATTACCTATTTTCTTTTCTTTACAACTAATTTTTGTAGAGAAAAAGTTTTGCCAATTTATTTCATCATTGGCTTCATAGCAAAACTCTTGTTCCCATTTCCTTTTCATAAACCATTTTTCCGATCGTTTGTTTTTTAATATTTCATAAAAGAATTTGGATTTCTGATTATTCACAGTGATAATCACATTATTTATATTAAATTTAAAAGTATTATGAATATTTGTATACTTGACAGATTCTAAATTGAATCTTTCTTTCAGTGTGCCCATGGCTGATAAAACTCTGTAATATTCAGATATCCAATTTTGTTTATTTACAAGTTTTTGATATAACATATTAACATCAAGGAACCTGTTCTGAATTATCAAGTCTTTTATGTATATAATTCCACTTTTGATCCATGATTCAAAGAAAATTGGTTTATTTTGACGGTGAATAATTTGTTTCCCCATATAACCTCTTGCAAGAGTTCATGTTGCTTCATATCTCTTATATTTTTGATGCATTTACATAAACAATGTGCTTCCAGCACTTGTTGATAAAAAAGTGGAACATTTTCAAATTCTTTGAATCTAGTATCATTTATCTTGAATAATACATCTATATTTGGAAGAAATTTATTGTAAGGGATTTTATTGTACATGTTTTGATTATGCAAACGGGGGATCCATGCTGCTTTAAGTTCATGTATTTGAGACTCTAAGTCAATCATATTTATTCCACCCTTATTAATATTATTTATGATTATAGATCTTCTTATTTTGTCCTTTTTTCCATCCCATAGAAATTTAAATACAAGATTGTTTACTTTTTTTATAATCTCATGTGGCACAGATAATACTGATGCTGCATAAATTAATTTTGGAATTGCCAGTGATTTAATCACTGTTACTTTGCCAAAAAGTGTTAAGTATCGGTTCTTCCAGCTGTCTAATATTTTTTCTACCTTTTTTACTCTATCTTCCCAGTTTAATTCATAACATCTTTGTTTGTTGTGTCCTAAAAAAGATTCCTAAATATTTGATTGGTTCATCAGTAAAAGTTATATTTTCACATTTCTTTTCAAAGTCCTTATTTTTTCCAAGCCAAATGCCTTCAGTTTTTTCTATGTTTAACTTCAGACCAGAAAATTTTGAGAAATTGGAAATAGTATTAAGTGCATTTTTCAATGACTCTTTATCTTTAATGAAAAGTGAAGTATCGTCCGCATATTGGGACATCTTATATTCTTTACCATCAACAGTTATACCTGATATATCATTATTTTGCTGAATTGCTAAGTTCATAACTTCGCAACATAAAATAAATGCCATTGCGGAAACGGGGCAGCCCTGCCGACATGAGCGTTCAACATCAATATTTTTTGATAACCATCCATTTTGCTTAATGTTTAAGAAAGGTTTTTCGTATAAAAGTTTGAGCCATTTGATAATCTTATCACTGAATTTAAATTTTTTCAACGTTTCATACATAAAATTCCACTCTATACTATCAAACGCTTTTTGGAAGTCAAGAAAGATTATAGCGCCACCTATCTGATTTTGATTTTCAAAATATTCAAATACATCTAATACCAGTCGGCTACTAAGTATTTCCTATAAAACGACCATTAATATAAGCCGTTTGTTGCATACCAATTAATTTACCTATAACCTTTTGAAGTCTTTTTGCCAAGATAAAAGCTAAAATCTTATAATCTGTATTAGATAATGATATTGGACGATAATTTTTTAATAGTTCACGGTCTCCTTTTTTGAATAACAAAGATATGATAATTTTACGAAATGATGTTGGTAAGATTCCAACTTCATATGACTCATTAATTGCTTCTATAACATAAATATGTATATCTTTCCAAAAGCATTTATAGAAGTCAGTGGTTAAACCATCTGATCCTGGGGAAATATCTTTTTTCATACTGGAAATAACAGGTAAACACTCACTATTATTGATAACACCTTCAAGGATGTCATTATCTTGTTTATCTAATGTATTAGGAAAGTTAATAGAATTCAAATAATTTTTTACTTTATTGGTTGGTTGGGATTTTGATCTATATAATTCGCTATAGAATTTAATTTCTTCTTTCAAAATATCCTCATCTAATCTAAGTATACCATTTTCTGATTTCAATGATGTAATTGTATTATTTGCCTGACGTGCTTTTTCTAAATTCAGAAAATATTTTGAGTTTTTATCTCCAAATTCTATATCTTGCTCTTTTGACCTTAAGATGGCACCCTTTGTTTTGCTTTCAAGGTCTTTTTCAAAAATAGATAAAATTTCAAGCTCTCTAGCTTTTGTAGTGTCAGAAGTATGATCACTACTCTGTATTAAATCAAGCTCTTTATTTAGAACATGTAATTTTTTCTTTGAAATTGAACATTTTTTGATTGAGAATTGAATTGCAAATTCTTTAATTTTGACTTTCAAAAATTCCCATTTTAATTGTTTTGAGTTAATCTGGTTTAATTCATGTTCATTTATATTTCTAATCAACCCTTTTACTTCGTGTACAAAAGTGCTATCAAGTAAAAGAGAATTATTGAATTTCCAATAACCAGGACCTCGCATATTTTTACTTGTATCTAACTTCATCATGAGACATTTATGATCTGACATTGGATAGTGATGCTTCGTTCTTGATATAACTTTGAATTGAGCATCTTTATTATATAATATGTAATCAATTCTTGATTTAGCATTTTTTCCTTTTGATATACATGTATAGCCAAAATGCTTAAATTCATCATTGACATTGAGATATCTTATCAGGTTTTCTAATTTTAATCTGCTATTGTCAGTTTCTATTGTCTTTGGAAATTTGTCATCTTTGGTAAGATAACAATTTAAATCACCTGCTACTATAATGTTGTTGTTAAATGTTGCAAATTGTATAATCTTTTTAGACATTTGTGTAAAAAAATCTGCCCTACCAGTATTTGAATTTGGTGCATACATATTAACAAATGTAAATAAATTATCATTAATTTTCACATTGATAAGTAACGACCGTGCATCAGCACTTTTAAAGCAGTCTAAAATATCAATAGAAAATCGTTTATGTATCAATGTAGAAACACCTCTGCTGTGTGTACTGTTAGTACAATTGTGTACACATAAATACTCAGACCACTCATTTTCAATCAAATATGTCAAATTTTCAGTACAGAAAGTTTCCTGCAACATAATTATATCAGCATTTTTTTCACTAAAATATTTCAAGGTTTTTAAACGTTTAGATTTGTCATGTAGCCCTCTTATATTGAGGGTTAAAGTATTTAGTGTTTCATTCATTATAATGATATTATAAAAATCAGTGTTTGTAACACAATTGTTTGTGTACAATATTGAATCCTAAATAAATCAAAAATCATATTGATCTGCACTGTCAAACTCCTGTAATCATATATTCCAGGTACAAATGCTAAAGCATGCTAAATTTATAAAAACTTTTAATATTTGAATCTTATATAAAATGTGGATTTAATTTATGATATAATCAATGTGAAACACAGTGATCTTGAAACACATCAGTGATCTCCCCAGCATTGAAGTGAAGCACCCACCTTAGATTTTAAAACAGGACTGCACCCACTTCAAAATCCATTTGCACCCATTTGAAAATGAGGAAAACCATGAAAAATTTGACCAATTTTGGTCTTAATTGTGAAAATGAGAATTTTGCACCCACTTGAAAAAAATCCTAAGGAGAACACTGCACATTGATGTATATTCTATTTTTATATCTCTAAGTACTTTATTCTGCTGTAACTACAAATGAAGATTTATTAATTTTTCAATTCCTTACCTTGTCCCACTTAAGTGCATTGCGGTAACATTTGATTGCTTCGTCATACTTCCTGTCAGACCTCTGCAGCAAACCATACACATGCCAGCCTAACAGTTGGTTAAGGCTAATTCAAATAACTATCAAACAACATTAATATGCAAAATGTCACCACCTGCAATTGTTACAGACACCAACCCGAATACCAACTGTCAAACACTGTCCACAAAAAAGTTAGAGACTATAACAATATACCTGATCATTCAATAAAAACATGCAAAAAAGATCTAGTTGTTAAAATTGGGTGATTTAGTAAATTAAATTGCATATTTCTTTCTGTAGTTTCATTTCTACTTGAAATGTGCTGCATTTCTTTTTATAGCATTTAATTGTACATAACTACCTAATTGAAGTGTTATAATGTTTATTTTTGTGAAGTAATACATCCTCAAATTGATAAATTTATGCATAAAAATTCACTGCATTTTGCACAGGACAGTACTAAGGTTGACAGACTAACTGGGGTTGTGAAACAAAAAAACAAAAGCAATAGTTTGCACTTGGTAAGGATACAGACATGACTCCTAAGATCATTTCTAAGTCCCTTCTTCACAAATTCGTAGGCCTCTTCTTTCTTTCCCATGCAGTTTAATGTCAGACCTTTCATGGCGAGAGTTTCCCCATGATCTGCATATTTTGGATTGGATAATATCCCTTTGGCAAATTTCAGTCCATTGCGATACTGCTTCTGCTCATAACATTTCTAAAATAATATTGCATCTGGTTTAATAAAAACATCTTAAGAGTGGAAATATGACAACATTTTACATAATTATGGCATAACAATATGTATAAGCCATTAACATGCAAAATGATGTTAACACAGACATTTGGTTCAGATACCAAACACCAACCACCAACAATCTTGTCTTGCTGAGGCAGCAGCTATAATAACTTTGTAAAAATAAAGAAATTGTTTTTCTAAATGTAATACTACTTAGGAATAGATTGCTAAGAACCTCAAAGTATTATTTGCGATTCTATATCTCAACCAATGCACATAATTATGAGAAATGTAAAAACTTATTCCATTGTGGTTCAAGATGGTGTAATTTTTTTCTTGATGTTGTACAATAATCATAACAGTTTGACATTTCAAATTTCTTCAATGGCACCACGTCTAGCTAATTTACATATGAGATCTCATTTTGGAAATGAGAAAATCCAGGTGTCATTTATTTATGGTGAGCACTTTGCAGTTTAGAAGGTTGAGAGTGGACTAAAACACAGAATGCATGTGAGTCAAATATGGGGCATATAATGAACGCACTATGAACAAAACAACATTACAAACTATCTGTCTAGCAAATTAGATAGTTGTAGAAATAGAAGAAACGTCATTCAACACCAAAATTTTTGAAAATATTTCTTTGAAATGAATGACCTTTCAGATTTGAAGATGTTTAGCGAGGAAACTAGTGAACATACCAAAATTCTTTTGAACAGAGCATTTTCCTTGGGAGGCAGAGGCTGACTGGTCGGCATTTTGACCGATTTTGGTAAACCGACTGCAGTGTAGAGGCAAAACTATTGAAGTTTCGAACCCTCGTGGCTATAAATCCAATATGGCGTATTCCGACAGCTGTCTCTAATCCAAAATCAAATCGTCATATCTGTCATATCTTACTCTATAATCAAACAACTAAAGTATTTATAGGAATTATATTTTATTTTCGATCCAAACTAGAAATTGTGGATATTGAAACTCGTTGAATTATAATAACGTTTTAGTTCGGAAGAGATTATAAATAAATTGATGATTTCGTTTCACATATATTTGAGTAAAAAGTTTGAGATCTAGTGCGATTCTTCACGAAAACAAAAAAAACAGAAATGATGTCATTTTAAAAATAACTCGCAAAACATCCCTCTTGACACCATCAACAGAAAGAAAGTATATGTTAGATCTAATACACTAGTCATAGTTCACATTATATCCAAATATGGATAACGAGGAAGATGCAGAAACTCCACAAAATGTAATTGAAAAAGTGGTCCAAAGGAGAATTTTCAAAATCATTGTGATTGGAGATTCCAATGTTGGCAAGACATGTTTGACATTCAGATTCTGTGGTGGTAAATTCCCTGACAAGACAGAGGCTACAATCGGTGTTGATTTCCGTGAACGACAAGTTGCAGTCGATAGTGAGAATATAAAGGTATCACTGATTTTCATTGAATTTTTGATTTTTCTTGTGCGCTCGAGATCAAGGAAATGAGAAATAGAACTGAGAGTAAGAGTTCGATTCTCTCGGACTTACATTAAATAACTGGTCATTGGCGTAGCGCCTGGTACACTGGGTACGTACAGGCGTACCATTGTTACAAATTCGCCCCAAATACAACCAATTTTCAAAATTCTCGTTTTTTGATTCACTCAACTCTTGTTCCTGTGGTGGTGTCGTACTACTTAGAAAAATAGCGCTACGCCCATGCTGGTGTTGGCTGCGTGCATGAAGGATTTTATCCCGTTCCCGGACTATAGATCTAGTCCTGCACTGATCGCATTCATTTGCCTGAACGATTACAACTTGGGAGAATTATCTACGCCCCTTACACTTAAGATACCTACCTCAATGCATTATAGAACTCAAGATGTAACTTCTAATATTTTGGAACCGCCGATTGTCTGGGTATATCGGCAGAACGGGAACATTTTCTCTTTTTCATCGAGAGAGGTTCCATCACTTTTCAAAATGGCGGTTGGATTTAAAAGGGGAATCCCCCGTTTGGCTGTCCCGGATGTAGCCCGGAAGTACCAATATGGAGGAATTTGACGGTTGAAATAAGTTAAATGTTACACGCAAATATTGCGATCAAAAACGAAAATGTCTTCGTTCTGCCGATAAACCCAGACAATTGTGGATTCAACTACACGAAAAGAATGCTAAATTACCAAGGAATCTATTGAAGTAGGTATCTGAAGTGTAAGATCAGTAAAAAATTCTCCCATGTTGTAATCGCACAGGCAAAAGATTGAGATGTTCACAGGACCATAGTCCGGGAACGGGATAAGTAGGATTGATCTGTCTGATGTCTAAAAACAGCCGAACATCCACAATATTATGTCAATTCCTTTTTATGTTGTCGTCCCGCATCTGGCCATTTGCTGCTCAATTTCACTTTTTCATTTAACTAGTTGCAACTAAAGTTCTATTTCTATTTAAAATCTTTTGGAGTCTTTGAACCTCCTAAGATGGCTTCATTTAGGTTTAAAACATGTACATGTTAAAATTGTGTTACAAAAGCAACTAACAGTATATTAGCTTACAGTCCGTCTAAAATGTTTTATTTACTTTCAGCTTCAACTTTGGGACACAGCTGGTCAAGAGCGTTTCCGCAAAAGTATGGTTCAACATTACTACCGCAATGTGCATGCCGTTGTCTTTGTCTATGACGTGACAAAACTTTCATCATTTGAAAATATGCCACAATGGATAGATGAATGTGATAGGCATCAGCTCACAACAGAAGTTCCAAGAATTTTAGTCGGGAATAAATGTGACATGAAAGATAAAATTGCAGTTAACACAAAAATTTGCAGATAGCCATAACATGCCGTTGTTTGAAACATCCGCTAAAGATGATTCCGAATCTGACCATGTTGAGGCAATTTTTATGACAATTGCCCATAAATTGAAGAACTGTCGTCCCATGATGCCCAACCACTCAGCGCAGGATCGTAGAGCTCTCGAATTAGGATCATTGTCTGGGGAGAAATCTGAAAGTGCTTGTTCCTGTTAAGCTAACAACACAATTTCGCAAAAAATTATGAATCTATTCATGTTCAAAACTTCTCAAAGTCAAACTAGGGTGAAATGGTTCAGATTTCAAGTAGGCCTAATTGTAGTCAATATTAAATTGGGGACCACTTCTCATGTTATTCTCTGGTGACATTAAAACTATCAGCTGATCCATCACACAATTCACTAGTGCATGACACACCATTCACTAGTGTATGACCCACCATTCACTAGTGTATGACACACCATCCGCTAGTGTATCACACAATTCACTAGTGTATGACACACCATTCACTAGTGTATGACACATTATTCACTAGTGTATGACACACGTGACACTACCATCCACTAGTGTATGCCACACCATCCACTAGTGTATCACACAATTCACTAGTGTATGACCCACCATTCACTAGTGTATGACACACCATCCGCTAGTGTATCACCCAATTCACTAGTGTATGACACACCATTCACTAGTGTATGACACATTCACTAGTGTATGACACACGTGACACTACCATCCACTAGTGTATGCCACACCAACCACAAGTGTATCACACAATTCACTAGTGTATGACACACCATTTACTAGTGTGTGACACACCGACGAGCTTGTGTATCGCACAACTCACAAGTGTATGACACACCATTCACTAGTGAATGACACACCCATGAGCTTGTGTGTTATTTTGTCATTGTGGAGAACAAAATGTATGTACATTAAAACATTTGTGCATGTGTAGAGCAAAATATTAACACATATTTGTACATAAATATTTCTGTACAGTAGAATGTTTCTGTAAGTCCATTAAAACATTCATATATGTACGGTAAAATGTTTATGTATGGATGGTAGAACATATAGGTATGTACAGTAAACATTTATGTATGTACATGCATGTATATGGTTATGTTTAAAATATGAATTCTGTTATACATTTATTGCAAAATGCTGCATATATCCAACTCAAGAAAAGTAAATAAGTAAATGTACATTTGAAAATATTCAGGTATTTTTAAGATGTTGCAACACATTGATTCACAAGGAGCATTGGAAGCCAGGGTACCAGCTCGATATTCTTTAATAATTTTTTTTTAATATCTTTCATATTTATTGTAAGCACAAGTCATTTAGATACAATTACAAGGGGCAAAGCGCTGTAAGCATTAGATGTCCCCTTATATAAATAAACAATAAAGTACAATATTCATTTTAACCTGGATGTCACCTGTAAATGGTAAAATGCCTTGCAATGAAACAAAAGATAGGAGGGCTGCTGATATCCTCTTTAATAATCTCCAACTTGATGTGATATTGCTATTCGTCCGTGTATATTTCTACGCCTGCAAGGGGAATGGCAGATATTCTTGATTTTGAATTTTGTATTCACAACACACTACGTGATATCCATATATGGGAAGAATATTGAGTGGCGTCTCTGGGAGCCAATCCTACTTGATTGATTCCACAATATAATTCCCAAGTTGTACATAGGCTTTGTGCTTGTAAATCAGCTTGACTTAAATACTCACTTGTAACTGTAAATATGGATATTTTAGCATTATTCAATTTGGTGAATTTTGATATTATGATTTTTTTGGTGGTTTGTATATTTAGTACAACTCTACTCATTTATATATTTTGTCAGTTATATTCAATTTTCGATGCTTATTACAGCAAAATATAGAGATTGGTGTTTATTTAGTTCAGAGAAATTTTTTCAAATTCACTAAATTATAATAGATGCCAAAATAACCGTCTTTACAGTATTCTAATAATTGAATAGGGTAATACTCTACATGTTACATTAAGGTAAATTAAAATAATACATATTTTGTTAAAAATGTCATCCTTTTCACTTAAAATAGCAGCATAAATCAGAGTTTATATTATATTTTGATAATATGATACATGTACTCAGAAATTGACAGATTGCCAAGAAATACTTTTGTGTTTCTAATTGTTCCTAACTTGTTAAACCAGTCAATGGCCAAAATTCTATGATTTATGATGCAATATTTCGATCAGTGTCCTGTCAATTGACTGAAATTGCATAGCGATCATATATTTGCTATAAATAATAGAATCGAGGTCTTTGTTATAATTCTGATATGATAAACATAAACAAATCTGGAAAACATCATTTTATTTATGTGGTCTATGTTTAGAAGGCAAGCCACTAACCATTATTAATATAAACACTGGAAAACCAATTGTTCTAGTTATTGTGACATCACATATCATATTAGAATTTTGTATATAGGCATAAGCAAAGAATAGATGTATTTTTAACTGCACAGCTGTAGACTTTCTGAAAGTCAACTCTTAAGCTAGCTATCAGTGTTGTCAACTAATAATATTTTTTTTGTAAAGTGGTCATCTATTTTTCCTGTCATGAGAGAAAGACAAGCAACATATAAACTTCATTTTGATGAATAACATGCTGAAAATGTCATTTTAAGGGAGGAGTTGTAATCTTTAAAACATATGTTGTGCCATATTTTCCTGTAGCCCCCCCCCCCCTTTGATCTGACATGGAGAATGTGTTTGTGCTCCTCAAGTTAAATATTTCGGCCAAATCTTCAAAGGTCATTAAACCTTCTGAAGCATGTGTGCGTAATCATTGCATCTTTGTTCACTTGGCTCCCGTCGGTCTGATCGCAGTGAAGATTAAGAATATAATATCACAAACCTTTAAGAGTATAACTCTGTAAAGCAATAAAGTTGTTTTATTGGTCTTCTGGTTTATTTATTATGTAATTTATTTATTTTATCTTTACAATTTATGTCTACATTTCAGTACAGATGCGTTAAAAGTTGTTAATATTGAAACCATTGACATGCTTCATCTCGGCATTAAACTGCACTGTGTTTAATAAATACTTCACATTTTTGCATTTATTGTTGACTGGAATAGATATCTGTTATTTTAAGATTATATTTATGTATATGTAGTAAATGAGTCTTGGATCAAGGTCCTCCCCTTCCCTTCCCCTAGTTCTCTTCCCCAATTTGTTTCTGAGACAGAGAATATGGAAAGGAATATGGGAAAGGAGACAAAGGGGGACACTGCAAGGTAATCCTAAAAGGGGGAACATCCCACAATTCATATATGAACCTATCTCCAGATACAATGTACATAGAGATCGGTTCACCTGTGAATTCTGGGATATCGCATCCTCTTAGGTAATCCTGTATGAATACATTGTCAGGGAGCATGAACTGATAAAGCGTACACCAGTTACTGGTTAAATAGACAACCTGTCATAAAAGATACAGTAAAACATGTCATACAAGTTAAATAAAACCTGTCATACAAGATACAGTAAAACCTGTCAACTAAAAAAGAGTAATCCAACCAGCCAAGTGTTCGGATTAGCAGGTGTTCACATTTCAAGGTTTCTTTATATGCCAGTCTATGGGAGGTAGCAAGATAAAGTATTCACATTGAGAGGTGTTGGGATTAGAGAAGTGTTTGAATAAACATGTTTTACTGTTCTGATTCACTGAAACTTCAACCAGTATTGTTAAGGGAAATGATGGAAAGATGAATAACTGTACTTTATCGGATATTGTTATGAGATTGTATATTTATAGAAGAACAGAGATTGATAGTGTAAATATTTCATAGAATAATTATGTAAGATATGATGGATTTGGTAATACAATGCTTGGGAGATGTGTAATAACACTAAACAATATGCCTTTGTTCATTTATTATTACTGGAATATGGTACAGTAATAGTACACTCCCCTCCATAAGTTTGGCAACTGGAGGTCCCATCTTAGAGATGTGTAATAACACTAAACAATATGCCTTTGTTCATTTATTATTACTGGAATATGGTACAGTATATTACACTCCCCTCCATAAGTTTGGCAACTGGAGGTCCCATCTTGGAGATGTGTAATAACACTAAACAATATGCCTTTGTTCATTTATTATTACTGGAATATGGTACAGCATATTACACTCCCCTCCATAAGTTTGGCAACTGGAGGTCCCATCTTAGAGATGTGTAATAACACTAAACAATATGCCTTTGTTCATTTATTATTACTGGAATATGGTACAGTTTATTACACTCCCCTCCATAAGTTTGGCAACTGGAGGTCCCATCTTGGAGATGTGTAATAACACTAAACAATATGCCTTTGTTCATTTATTATTACTAGAATATGGTACAGTATATTACACTTCCCTCCATAAGTTTGGCAACTGGAGGTCCCATCTTGGAGATGTGTAATAACACTAAACAATATGCCTTTGTTCATTTATTATTACTGGAATATGGTACAGTATATTACACTCCCCTCCATAAGTTTGGCAACTGGAGGTCCCATCTTGGAGATGTGTAATAACACTAAACAATATGCCTTTGTTCATTTATTATTACTGGAATATGGTACAGTATATTACACTCCCCTCCATAAGTTTGGCAACTGGAGGTCCCATCTTGGAGATGTGTAATAACACTAAACAATATGCCTTTGTTCATTTATTATTACTAGAATATGGTACAGTTTATTACACTCCCCTCCATAAGTTTGGCAACTGGAGGTCCCATCTTGGAGATGTGTAATAACACTAAACAATATGCCTTTGTTCATTTATTATTACTGGAATATGGTACAGTATATTACACTCCCCTCCATAAGTTTGGCAACTGGAGGTCCCATCTTGGAGATGTGTAATAACACTAAACAATATGCCTTTGTTCATTTATTATTACTAGAATATGGTACAGTTTATTACACTCCCCTCCATAAGTTTGGCAACTGGAAGTCCCATCTTAGAGATGTGTAATAACACTAAACAATATGCATTTGTTCATTTATTATTACTAGAATATGGTACAGCATATTACACTCCCCTCCATAAGTTTGGCAACTGGAAGTCCCATCTTAGAGATGTGTAATAACACTAAACAATATGCCTTTGTTCATTTATTATTACTGGAATATGGTACAGCATATTACACTCCCCTCCATAAGTTTGGCAACTGGAGGTCCCATCTTGGAGATGTGTAATAACACTAAACAATATGCCTTTGTTCATTTATTATTACTGGAATATGGTACAGCATATTACACTCCCCTCCATAAGTTTGGCAACTGGAGGTCCCATCTTGGAGATGTGTAATAACACTAAACAATATGCCTTTGTTCATTTATTATTACTAGAATATGGTACAGCATATTACACTCCCCTCCATAAGTTTGGCAAATGGAAGTCCCAT